TCTACTATATGCCATATTGTAGAGAAATGTTTGCTCTACAAAACTGATGATTTCAGAAAATTTCACAGTTCGTTGTTGCAAAAATACAAACCAATTTTTGAAAAACACGAAAAAAAACTGTTGCATGTCTACCTAGAATTAGAATTTCTGATGGTATAATTGAATCAATCTAATATTTTCTGGCATTTATGAAGAAGTTTTGTATTTCGTACAATCCTAGTATTTTATGTAACAAATAGTTATTTTCTTATTTAGATGATAGTTGGGGTGGTGGTATCGAATTAGCCATATTAACAAAATTATATGAAATTGAAATATGTGTAATAAATAGTGAATGTGGTGGCCGAATTGATTATTTTGGTGAAGATTGTCAATTTCCATATCGTGTTTTTTTATTATACGATGGACTTCATTATGATGTAAGTTATATCAGAAATCACTGATATGTTTCGTTGCTAATTTCTATTCTATGTTAATATTTTAGCCTGTTTACTATTCAAAATTTGATCCAGATGAAAATAAAGAGTTAATTCAAACAAAATTTTTACGTAATGATGAAATGATATTAAATTTGGCAAAAAAACTGATTGAACCAACAACACCACCGGCATCATCAACAACTCCTAATATTGAGAAGAATGCAAAGGACTGTGATTACAAACAAATGATGAAAGGGAATGAATTGGTGCATGTGAAACTTTGATAATTAAATCGTTCGTTCACTTTTTGTTATTTCTGAACAGTTAACGTGCGGTTTAAACATGTTTTTTTTTCTTGTACTGTAGCAGTGATTCTCTCTTTTTTTGAGTGTGTGTGTGTGCGTCTGTTTACTGATTTTTTTTCAAAGATAATGCGACTAGAAACAAACTTAGAACCGATATTCAACTCATCTTTTTTCCTCTGCATCTTTAGTCTGCATATTAGGATGATATAAAATCACTTTTTCTATTACCTAGTTGCTTCTGAGAACCACACGAAATGGATAAGAGTTGCTGTTTGCTGGTTTCTTTTTTGTTTCTTCGTATATATATTTTTTTGCCTATTTATGTATATTACAAACGAATATCCTATTCGAAACTTTTCTTAGTTTCATTTCGTTTTTATGTTCTTCTTACTTCTGTTTTTTGTTTGGATTTGATAATGTGGAAAAGAGGAGAAAAATAATCTCATCAACTTCTCTCAATACCAGGCTTGATTTACTTTTAATGCGAAAATGTAAATTAATATATTGTATTTTATATATCGTTCATTTTTGCAGAAACGGCTGGTACACAACACAAATTGACATCATCTAGATTGTTAGAAAATGTTGAAACAGACATCTTGTATTAATGAGAGCAAAAAACCGAGTAATTTAATCAGACTATTATAGCGGGTCGAATAGATTTGCTTTCTCGGATTTCACTCATTTTATGAAATATTGTATTTACTTCCATGTGATGATAGATGTTCTCTACGGTATATTTTGAAAGAAAGTTCTTTTGGTTGTCTATGCTACATACATTAACGAGTTCACTTTTTTTGAAACTACATTACAAAAGCATAGATGTGATGTATGATGCAAAATTTTCATCTATCGCTAAATTACAATTTTCAATGTAGAAGTAGCTAATCTATTTTACCTGTTACCTTTCTCGTTATTATTATCATATGTCTAATATTAATCAATTTTCTCATTACTTACGTCTCTAATTGGTATCATCTTATTGACCTTCATCTGTATATTTAAGATTATAACCACTTCGATTGAATGATGATTTGACAAAAAATCGAAATGCAGTAAGTTCAAAAGATTTGGTTTTAGATATTACATTTTTCACATATTTTAAGGTATATAACAGACTGTATTGTAAGATGAGTCAGTGTGTGTGTTATCGGATATTTATCTTTGATCGCTAATTCAGCTAATACTACCTTGTGTGTGTGAATTTATTTAATTTTTAATTTTATAAAATTATATATTATTGCTTATATTATCTTTTTAGTGCTCGTGAAGTATTAACAAATTCGTCACACACATTGCGTTCAATACCAATGCCATCAAAAGGTGAATTTATTTAGTTTTTTGTGTTATATTTTTCATAAAAAGCAAAAATGAATCCTATAATCATAATTTGCTGGTTTCATTAGTGTATCTAGCTACAAAATTTATTTAATGTATTTTTCCTTAATTTTTCCATCTTGGACATACAGTAAACTGGACTATAATTTTCCATGTTTCTCGAAAATACATTTCGCTTTTCTACAGTGAATTTAGTTCGAGGTATTCAAATGGTTAGTATGGAGGCTTTTTTGCAAAATATCTTTTACTGATGCGAAATAATAAGTGTTTGGTGCTCGACTGCCACTAATGCTACTCAAATATTCACAAGTCTTAATTTAGTGCAGACTTATATATTATTTTAATTAATTCAAACTTGCGAATGAAGTTTTATATTTATAAGTTTAAATGTTGTCATCAGATATTGTAATATGACGTTAACTTCTAGTACATATATAATAGCGTCATTCTAATTCTGAACAGGTTAAAATTATACAACTATATGGAAATAATGATCACTGTTTCAACTTTGTCAAGTTAATGCTCATGAACCGTTAATAATCAAAGTTAAAGTCCAGGTAATTTTACGACGTCATTGTTGTTCGCCTTTTTTGTACATATGTATTATTATCACAGAGCGTGCAATGTTATATTAAACGTACAAAAATAAAACAAAAATGTCAAACATTTACTCTAACATAAATACACCATCATTATTCACCGATTTTGAAGGTTATTATTTCTGTATTAATCATTTGCATGTTTTAAAATTGAAATTGAATTAAACCTGAATACATTCTAATGTTAACCAAAAAAAGTTTGTTATTAATACCGTTTCAAAGTCCCAAAATGTTTTATCTATTAGCCAGAACTTATTTCATTTGTCTAATGAGAATACGAAAATTATTATAACTCAAATTTGCAAGTATATGTTGTTAAATTTGAAATTGAGATACGTGCACATGCACACGGTTGATTTTAAGTACACCTTTTTACAAAACTTCCTTCAATCACTTTTTCTATTGCTTCTATGCAGCTCATAAGTTGAATATATGCACGGTTCCTTCTGTATAAACTAACTGTTTGAGTATTTCTGGAAAATAAGGAATTAAAAATGCTATAACTTGGCGAAAAGGTGTCTATGAACTTTACTAATTTGTACACATGTAACTCGAATTCTTTAAAAACTGAAAACGTGAAGAAATGAGCGAACACTTGGAGAACTAAAATTAAAGCTCTGATCTAAGTGTCATTATCATCTTCAATTTTACTTATCAGATGATACCAATAGCTCGCTATATCCGAAATCATTAAAAATCGACTTAAGATCATGTGATTATTGTACTTTCTGTTATTTTCTCGTATTGAATTAATTTTAATTTATTCATTATACTTTATTTTAGCATGTCGAGATCGCCTTGTGAGAACGCCCACTGCTATCGTCATGGTAAGTTACATGGCTAAAAAAATAGAAATTACTGATCATTGATCTATTTTTTAATTTTTAGGTTGGATTGCCGGCTCGAGGAAAAGTAAAATCTTCCCTTTCTCAAGTTCAACATCTGTCAATTTGTTATATTCTTCTAGACATATATATCCAAAAAGTTAGCGAGATATCTCCATTGGATAGGAATTAAAACAAAAGGTATTTATTCATTCAAAGTTCAGAGTGACATTTATAATCATTTGTATTTTCTTAAATTCAGTATTCAATGTTGGAGAATATCGTCGAGAAGCAGTTAAAGTGTATGGAGGAAAACATTTCTTTGATCCGGACAATGCTGAAGCTGTAGCAGTGAGAAAGTAAGTTCTTCTCAATTGAAAACTGATTTTTTTATGTTTTTCTTTCTCTGTCTCTAGTCTATGTGCTCAACAAGCATTAGAAGATATGTGCAATTTTTTGTCGGATGAAGGCGAAGTAGCAGTACGTAATATAAGAATATACATACAATAGGTATCTAAAAACATTTACTCGACATGTCCAATGTACATAGAACATCGACTTGCATGTTTTATGCACAACTTTAACTGTCCTTCGAAACTTGATCTTTATAAACATAGTTTATAGAAGTTAAGTTAAAAGACTAAGCAAGTCGTGTTTACCCTCCCCATTTTACTTAAAACGCTAGGCAGTCGAAGTCAAAAGGTTAAGTAAAGAATCTCAATGACATCAATTTCTCCTGTTTATAAATCAATAGAATTTAATTAATAAAGTGATCATTTTTGTATTTTTACTGCTTATTTGCTTAGTTTTAGTAAACATCACTTTCTACACTCTCTAATAAACAGTATAAATGTGAAGTATTTTTGACAATGACGACGGTATCTATTCATTTTGAGAATTTGAAATTATTATTTCGTGCCGTTTTTTTAATTAGCAACCATTCTACTTAGTCTATAAGTATCTATTTTTTCCTATCAACTTCACAGTTTCTCAATATCAATATAATTAATTTAAATAGTATAGGGAGTTGACGCATTGTAACAAAGACTAGTTTGTTTTTTTAAACTTTCACATATACCGACGGTACGTAGTATATCTAATCTACGGGCAGTTTAGTTAAGTACCTTTTACATGATCCATCGTGTTTCTGGTAACAGATGCATATGGTTTTGTCAAATTTTTTTATTACAATATGTAGTCCTATTCTGACATTCCTCGTAAATAATAATGTCATACACATAAATTTTTAGTATGAACGATTGTTGAGAAAAAAGTGTACAATGAATTTAGCAGATGAAGAACGTCGTTAACCTAAATTGTAATATTACAATTGGAATAGTTCATGACGGTTCGAAAATTATTTATCCGGATCAACAAATCATTTACATTTACTAGGTCCAGTTTAATCAAAGTCAACGAATTTGAAAATAATTGTAAAAAACGTGTAAGAGAAGAAACAACATCCATATCAAATATTTACAAATAAGAATTAGTTAAATCTTGTTTAAACATAATGATATACCATTTCTACCATCAGTTTCATAAATTGGTTCAGCATTTTATCGTGAATAAAATATCCTTATTAAATGTGTTCAAATGTAAAATATCTTACAAGATTATTGTATAAGAATTGATAAGGTCTTACAACAGTCATTAATGTATTATGTTTACATTTCTTATCATAAGATGTTTACAAGATCGTACACGAATATATAGAGTCTTGTTGTATGTTCTTACAGGATTTTACAAGAAGTAAATGATTCATCGTACCACAAAAATTTTGCTACGAGATGTAGTATATATACACAAGATGGTTGCTGATTTTCTATTTCGTCAACGTTACAGTTCACCTGAATACATATGCAGTGCATGGATTAGGAACATGACTAAACAGGATCCTGGGACATCTGGTCCCTGCATGCTTTATGCTAGAAAATATTAGTAAAAGAAAAAACAGTGTCGGATTAATATAAAAAAGAAGTAATACCAACTTGGATATTTAAAGAATTTCTTATAAAATCTTGTGAATTCTTGTCTGGTCTTATAAATTTTCCTGCAAGTTCTTATCACAAGATTTTGTAAGATCTTGTAAAATCATACTGCCCTGGATAATAGACGTGTTAATATTGTGAAAAAATTATCTGTAACCGTGGGAACAAAATAATAACGGTAACTTAAATAAAACGAGACGAAATGAGAATAATTTCAGATTCTCAAAACGAATGGATACCGTCATCATTGTCAAAAATACTTTTAAGTATTTGTATTGTTTTAAATAACTAATTTTTCTGAAAAGTTACGAGCTGTGGTAGAAATTCTCAATCAACTCATGGAAGGTGTCTTAATACTTAAACTGTTTGTAGACCATAAAATAAAAAAATAAAATTTTATTTGGTAAAGTAGTAGGAGGAAATATTCTTTGTTCCTTACACAACCTAGTGACTTCGTCTACCCAGTATTTTAAGTAAAGTGAGGAATGCGAGTTTCATGTTTCTTACATAACCATTGTACCCTAGCGTGTTCTGGAAAATGAACAACGGTGTGAAAGAGCAATAGCAGACAACAAGAACGCCTATCCACCATTTCTTGCGAGAAACTGAGACTTATTCAACTTAAGTTTGTACACCAGGAACAATAGACATGCCATAAACTCATCTTAAATTCAGTCAATATTTACAGGTTCACTAAGATTATCGCTAACATTTTAACCATATGATGATGCAACAACTGTTGTTTAAAATTTTTTTATCTTGTGATGGTTTTAAATTTGAAGGACATCCGTCATATATCGAAAAGAAAGCATTTTTAACGTTTTAGAAATTGATGTAGTTAGATTTCCTGTATAACCTCCTTTTTTGCTAAGACAAGTGCACAGTAGATGTTGGCAAAAAATGATATCTTTTAAGGCGTGAGAATGGAAGTCTCGCATCCCACATCTGTTCCGAAATGGGACGGATCTCGGGTAATGTAGATATTTTTATAGAGCAAAATTTCTAGGAGAATAAAGCGGCAAGAAATTCTTGTACCAGTAAAATTTCGCAGAATTACTTGTAATGATGTTTGTTCTTAACAGTCATCTATTATGAAATTTATAACATAGTTAGAGGTAGAAGACTACAAATACAAAATTGTTTCAAAATTTCTGCCCGTTTTTTAGAATTTTTTGTACGATATGATACGACTGGGACAAATTTCTCTGTCCGCAAGACAATATTTGTAGATCATCGTGAAACAGGGACAATTTGAAGAACCAAAAACGCTAATTTTCTATATTTTTGACTTTTTTCGGGGGCTATCGTGTCATTTGTATAATAATGACATTCTCGATGTTTCATTGTCATACGATAAAATGTTCATTGATATTTTGAGACTGATCAATGCTTTTAATCAATACTGATCAATTATTTTAAATAATTTAGATATTTGATGCTACCAATACCACACGTGATCGACGACGTATGATTTATGATTATTGTACGCAAACATTTTGTTTTAGAGTATTTTTCATTGAATCTATTTGTGATAGTGCAGAAATAATAGAAGCAAATATAAAAGTATGTATTAACATCTTTTTGAAATTATTACAAAACTTATAGAAACAGTGACATCGTAAAATAAATAGAAGAAACTTGTTTCCGTCATTTGAAGGTATCTGTTTTTTTTCATCTTATTATTTAGGAAGTAAAATTGAAGAGTCCCGATTATAAAGAAATGTTGGCTAGCGCTGCTGTTGATGATTTTTTATCAAGAATAGCCTTATATGAAAAAAGTTATGAAACAATTGATGATAAAACCGATGAGAAAAATCTTTCGTTTATCAAATTATTCAATTGTGGTGAAAGATTTTTGGTTCATAAAATTGGCGGTCATATACAATCGAGAGTGGTCTATTTTTTGATGAATATACACGTTTTACCACGAACAATCTATATAACACGAGTATTTTTGCATTATTTTATACTTTTTTACAGTATTCATATTTTTCTTTTTCTTAAAGCATGGAGAATCGGAATTGAATACACAACAACGAATTGGCGGTGATCCTCCATTATCACCTCGCGGCAAAATGGTAGGTTATTCTCACCTTGAACATCTAATGTAAATATAAATCAAAATCTATTATTATTTTTAGTACGCTGATGCACTGGCGCAGTATATGGCAAAAGGTAGTCAATACTTCTTTTTATTTCTTCTTCTTGTTCAAATAAATTAATTACAATTATATTCTAGAGAATATTCCTGATTTAATTGTATGGACTAGTAAATTGCTACGTACAATACAAACAGCTGCAAAAATAAATGCTCCAAAAGAACAATGGAAAGCATTGGACGAAATTAACGCGGTAAGTGTACTCCATTTAGTTAATACATAATTATATTACTTTTCAATTTATTATTTTGTTCAGGGTATTTGTGAAGGATTAACATATCTTGAAATTGCAGAAAGATTTCCCGAAGAATTTGCTTTACGTGATCAAAGCAAATATTATTATCGTTATCCTGGTGGTGAGGTGAGCTACGAAAATAATTGGATGTTCAATATATATAAAAAAATATTTATATTTTTAGTCCTATCAAGATCTTGTTGCGCGACTTGAACCAGTGATTATGGAATTAGAACGAGCTGAAAATGTACTTGTCGTTTGTCATCAAGCAGTTGCTCGTTGTATACTCGCTTATTTTCTTGATAAAAATGCAGGTAAAGTAACTAGACATTAATCACAAAAAAAAACCATACATTTGTCTTTTATTGTGCATGAAAGATTGTGTTTCAGATGATTTACCTTATACAAAAGTACCATTACATACACTTATTAAACTTACACCACTTGCATATGGTTGTAAATTAGAGTATGTACCGTTAAATGTTGAAGCTGTCAATACTCATCGAGAAAAACCAAGGGTAAATATTTATCCTAACTATGTTATTTTAATGTAAATATGTTTAATTTTTTATTGTTAAAATGTAGAATTGTCAATTAATGCGTACATTGGACGATGCTGTCGGTGAGTATGTAGCAACAGCTGATGAAAAACATAATAATGAAGGTATACAAAATGAAGTCATTTATTCTGGAACAACAAATACGATTGTTGAGCGTAAAGTTCGTACTATGCGAAATGATAGTTCAAATGAAAATGGTGCTCTAAACAATATTGGTTCATTGATACAAGACCTACCAGAATGACATATAAAATTCTGTTTATGATTTTTATATCTATTGTAATACCTAGTCATCAGCAGCGTATTCTTTTTTTTTTTTGCTTGTTATTTTTAGTTATTCTCAATGGATCATGTCATTTTCTAATATAGGCTTCAGAACTGCTTCTTTTTTTTAAAATTTTTTGCATATTTTTATTATGAATAAATTTTTACTTTGATAATTAAGCTAATAATATATTTTAATCTTTGGTGCGCTATTTAATTGACAGGGCAACGTTTAAAAATGGCAGATGTTAGTGACTGTTAAATGTATATACCACTTTAATATACATTTTCTTTCCTTAAAGCTTTTCGAAGTTTTTCTTATTGTAAGTATTGTCATTCTAACAATACAAATTAAAGTATAGTCAACTACTGTTTTTAATCAATATTCACACCAAAAATTATTATATCTAATCTTGAAACAATTCATTTCTTCTTACAATTTGGTTTGTAATTTAATAATACCACATTATTATCTTTGTTCAATTTTAAAATTTTTTTACAGATCAATGGATACTAGTGTTGCGGGAGAAGTTACTGTTCAAGATGACGATGACGGTGGTCAACCGCGAAAACGTATGCGTTTAGGTAAGTTTATTTGTTTTTATGGAATTATGTTGAATAGTTTCCGAAAGAAGGACAGGAAGACTGTAAGTTATATACTCAGAACCCTAGCGTTTTTTCTAGTCCTTCCTGTAGTTATGATCTTAATTAAATAAATAATGACAGCAATTATAATCATAAGTTTGTCTAGTAGAGCCCCTATGTATAATCTAAAAATTGTTTGCGGTATGTGTTAATGATCTTTAAATCATTCAACGCCTTATTTACGATTTTACAGCCTCTGGTTATGTGCTTAAAAATATCTAGTATCCCTCGTTATGGCCCTGAAAAAATTAACTGAATAAAAAAAAAATTAACTGAACTTAAAATGAACTCAAGAATTAGCAGTCGGAAGAAGTTTTACATTTTAGCCCCGACTGGGGCTGTTCTGACAAAATTTTTTCGTACTATTTTAGCCTGACTAATGCCTATTTGTTTTTTAGACAATAGTATTGAACAAAATGTTGGAATTCTTCATTTTTTATCGAATCATCTTGGCTTTGATGGTCTTGTCAAATATCGGTAGTCTATATTTTTGTTTTTTTGTTGTCAAATACATTTATATTTATTAATTCATTTTTTTCGTTTAGATATTCCGATTTTCTAGTCAATGAAATACGATGTTCAGGAACAGTTGTTCATTTGACAGATTTGAATATTCCAAAAACAAATAATAACTCAAATGTTGTAGTTTTATATTATTTTAATTTTATTCAATTTAATTAAAAATAATGTATTTTTTTAGAAAACAGACGATGATGTTGTAAATCTTATTGAAAATAATTTAATTGAAAAATTAAAATCAATGTCTGAACTTAAACTAACAGATTCAATTTTCATTCCAGTTGGTAATCGTTAATTTTTATTCTTATTTTAAAATTGATAATAACACATAATTAATCTTATTATTTATATTTTAGCTAAATTAACAAAGGAAGAACGTACAACTATTCATCAATACATACGTTCAATAGATATGAATTTGAAAAGTGAAACGGTGAATAGTAGTGAAAAAGAACCATTGATCAAAGTTACATATGAAAGTTAGTTTATTTACAAAAAAAAAAAATTAATTCAAAAGAAAAATTAACGAACATTCTCTTTAGATATTGATAGACAAAATCGTACTCGTCGCCAAGATAATTGGCCTGATAAGAGTAAACCATATTTAAAATTTGTTTTATATAAAGAAAATCGTGATACGATGGATGCCATTCAACATATAGCTAAATTTTTAAAGTAAAATTTATTATTTGTCTTAATTATATATTCTATGGACAATATTTATTGTTTTTCTGTTGAAGTATTTCAACATCCTTATTTCAATATGCTGGTGTCAAAGATAAACGAGGAAAAACATGTCAAGAAATAACGATTCATAGGTAGTCTTTCTTAATCACTAGTCAATGGAAAATGTTTGATTTTACATCCGCATTTTCTATTTTAAGAGTAGTACCAGAACGATTTAAAAATATCAGTTCAAAATTACCATCAATTAAAGTGGGAAATTTTAAGTATGATTATTCTATTTTAAGGATACCGCCTCCTTTCTTTTTTGATCCTCTTGAAAATCGGGGAAGCCGATGTCGAATCGGGGTGAAATTTATACCAGAGATAGAACTCCGAAAAAGAAATTGATGTATTTTTGCCCAGAATTTTCTGACGTGTTCTTCTATGGGTTTTCTGGAAAACTCCACTTTTCACCAGGCCTCATTACGACCCCTCGAAAAGATGGTCCGATCGAGATACTTCAGACCCTATTTCAGGTTCATTTTTTTCTTTTCAAAAAATATGCTTTCCTTCTCGAGATATCCGAAAAATGCTGAAAGTCCCGCAAAAGAACTCAGCTTTTTTCAGTTTTTTTGTCTGATTTTTAGCATTTTTCGGATATCTCGAGAAGGAAAGCATATTTTTTGAAAAGAAAAAAATGAACCTGAAATAGGGCCTGAAGTATCTGTGATAAAATTTTGAGCTTGATCAGACCATTTTTTCGAGGGGTCGTAATGAGGCCGGGTGAAAAGTGGAGTTTTCCAGAAAACCCATAAAAGAACACGTCAGAAAATTCTGGGCAAAAATACATCANATACATCAATTTCTTTTTCGGAGTTCTATCTCTGGTATAAATTTCACCCCGATTCGACATCGGCTTCCCCGATTTTCAAGAGGATCAAAAAAGAGAGGGGGAGGTACCCTTAAGTATTAGGACATGATTAATAATTTCTTATTTATTTCTGTTCATAGATTTTGTGATGAACAATTACAACTTGGTCTTCTAAAAGGAAATCGTTTTGAAGTTTTTATAAGGTAAGAAAGAATTTGTGTTGTTACTTTTTTTTTTCTTTAACCCTGATCCGACCACCTATAATATGCCCAAGTTCGACCGGTTTCATTTGGATACTGACTGAACACAACGATTAGATTTTACCGCTTCACTTTATATTCTACTGAATGACAATAAGATATGAACTGATTGCATCCGCTCATTATTTATCTGGCAGAGCAGCAAGACATATCTTCCAAGCATCCGTTTTTGTCTAGGATCCACACGGACCCCCAGTGGACGGATCAGGATTAATATTTTTTCGTTTTATTATATTTTTTAATATTTATTTTTTATTGATTTATAGAAATATTAAAAATTCATCAAATATTGACATTATTAACTGTGTTGAAAAATGGATAGAAAATGGTTTTATTAATTATTTTGGTTTACAACGATTTGGTTCTAGAATGTTACAAACATTTACAATTGGAAAGTATGATATTTTAATTTATATATTTCAATATTTTTACCTTATTTTTAAAATCAAATATTCTATTATTTTGATAGATATTTGATTCGACGTGATTGGTCATTAGCAATTGATTCAATATTAGCCTATGATGAATCAATTAAACCGGAATGGCTTCGTCAAATATTAGATGTATGGAATAAAACGCATGATATTGAAACTATTTTAAATGGACATCATGGTCGTCGTTCAATTGAAATTGATCTATTAAGAGGTATTCAAAATAATGATCGTACAAATTTAGTTGGTGCACTAAGTTTTGTACCAAGAAATACACGATTACTCTATTTACATTCTTATCAATCAAAAATATGGAATCAAATTGTTTCTCGTCGATTTTCAACATATAATAATCAAATACTTGATGGTGATTTGTATAGGATGAATGATGATAACAATAATATTAAAATTGTTGATGAAACAAATCGTAATCAAGTCAAATTAGAACAATTGGTATTACCATTGCCTGGTTATGATGTCATTTATCCAAAAAATGTTATCTCTACATGGTATAAAGATTTATTATTGGAAGATGGAATTGATATTAATCAATTTAAACATCAAGTTAAAGATTATAGTTTGAGTGGAGATTATCGACATTTTATTGTTAAACCAGAAGATGTTCAATATAAATTAATTAACTATAATAATATTGATGATGATATTTTACGAAGTGATTATGATCGTTTAACATCAGTTGATTCACCAATAACAGGTAAATTTTTTGAAAATAACATAGAATGATGTCTGTAGTGTTGTTATTTATCAATAATTGTTTTATTTTAGATAATAATGGTCAATTTTCTGGATTAAAAATATCGTTTTCATTGCCAAAATCTTGTTATGCTACAATGGCATTAAGAGAACTGTTACATCGAAATGAATCTCAACTTCAAAATGAACATCAGGACAAAGAAACAATAGTTGAAAGTGAATTTATTGTAGAGAGCTCGATTTAAACAAAATTATTTTTTTGTTTTCTATTAAATTAAATAACTGCTCACTTGTTCGAACAGTTGGAATAGATAATTACACCAATGATTGAATAAATTTACCTAAAAAAACCAGAAGTATACTATGCTGTACACAAGTTTTTATAATAAGACTCTCTATACACTTGATATATCTCAACGAATACTATTGTATTATATTCTCACTACTAACTATTACCCACAATCGTTCATCAACTTTTTCTTCTTTTCTTTTGTTTCAAAAATACACTTACTGGACTTTATATCGAAAGTAATTCAAACACTATCCTCTTTGAAAAATCAATTTTACCTGTTGAATTCGTTACGCACATAATTTTAAAGAATGAATATGTAAACATAAGAGATTTTCTTTTAAAAACTAACAGATATTGAGAGCGTATGAGAAATATAAATGTGACTAAGGTTGTTTTTATCATTTCTGATATAGACGAAAAAAATATATATTTATGTTCAATAGAACGTATAGAATAATATTTTTATCGAAATCTATTGGTTCAATACTGAGAGACGAGTTTAAAATTCTTCGAGATTTTCCATGAGGAATCTCGAGATACTCCTGTTTGACAAAACTGATTTTGTTTGAGATATTGATTCACTATGAAATCCAGTGATAGCCCTTTCGTCACGTTAATTTTGGTCACATAGAGAAAAGAACTCTCGTCACACGTGATGGAAGTGTATGGCATTTTTGGAAGAGTACCGCCCCACACTTTGGTTATAAGAGTGGTGAACTTTCGTAACCGTTTGTGTAACATGCCTACAACTATAGTCACATCCCATCGCGAACTTTCGTCACGACTCAAAAAGAACTTTCGTCACACTAATAACATGACGGGTTGGGCAGAGAAAATGACGCCACTTTGCAAAACTTTTTCTCAAGTTAAACTTGATCAGAAAACTTCATTTTTACGTCAAAAGATAAAGAATTGTGTCTAGATTTTATTAATATGTTGTTTTAGAAATAAGTATGCCCTGTTCTTTTACAATAGTAAAAACACTGGAAGCCACGAACATCTCAACTGCTCAATTGCAAAATCAGAAAAATTCAAAATGCAATTTTTTTCAAAAATTTGATTTAAGACCTAAAACAAGCAGAATCTTTCGGAGTATCTAGCTGTGTGTTGTTTCTTATACGATTATTCGTTACTGTTTTCTAAAATGGAAAACAGAAAAAAGGCACCTTTGATCAACGAAGTGGTACGTTATTTTGGAGACTCCCTTAAAGTCTTGACTTATAAAAATTATTGTTTTTATATCAAAAGATAAAGAATTTCAAGCTCTACAAAATGCACTTCTTTTTATGGGTTGCATCGTTTTGGTAAAGGGATGACAGAGCTGAGAGATCTTCCTTTAGAGGGAATGGCTCCTAACACAAATAATGACCCAATTGTTATAGTCTGTTTTTACGGCTCTAAAACTTTGTCCAAAAGTATAGTTTGTACTCCAGTAATTAAAAGTTTATTGTAGTTTTTAGTACTGTGTTTGAATCGCGCGAGCAAAACTTCTATGAAGATATAAATCATTTTTTTTTCAGTGAAGTGTGGTGAGCAGTTAAGATTTTTCAGACTTCCAATATTTTGAGTATAGTGAAAAAACGATTAAAGCACATTTTAATCTAAATATAGCACTAGAAACTAGAGAAAATTCTGCATCTTTTAAGCTCAGAACGAAGTTTTGGAAGTTGATATGACTAGTCAAAGGATGAGTTGCAAAGTGGCGTCATTTTCTCTGCCCAATCCGTTAGAACTGCTTACATATGGACTACTCAATTTGGATTTCATCGTAATGAATTAGGAAGCGCTAAGAAAATGTAATGTTTATAAAGAAAAAAGCAAGAAGTTATTAATCCAGTTTGCACTGCTACACTTTGGACTAATGAACTTTGCACTACAACTTTGATTTCACCGCAGCCATATCATGCAACGTTTGACGAAAGTGCCGATCTGTCTAAAAAACCAGACACTTTCGTCACAACCGAAAACGAACTTTCATCGCATAACGGGTAACTTTCGTAACCACTATTCAAACATGTTTAAACTTTCGTCACACGCTGAAAGAACTTTTGTCACTGAAAACAGAACTTTCGTCATATGACGAAAGTTCTGTTTTCAGTGACAAAAGTACTGTGAAACATGAAGTCAGAGAGTCACATTTTTGAGAAAAATAAAAAGAGAAGAAACTTGTAGATTGTGAGAAATGACTGAAAAAGATTTGTAAGTTCTTTACTGAGAAGAACAAAAATTAAGAAAATTTTCTTTTTCGGTACCAGAGCTCCGTAGGACTCAAAATTTTGAGTCCAGTCCAGCCCATGGACTCTAAAAAAGTGGTCCAGCCCAATCTGAGTCCAATAGATTGAGGAAATAGTCCAATGGACTTTGCAAACTTCTGTATACTTGTGGTCCATTAGCAGCATGACCATTGTCAATAAACATTTTACTGCTGCCAATTTCCATTTCCTCATCGTCAATTGTTACAAATAGCATTTACAAAAAGTGTTAAATCTGTTCATAAGCAAACACGTCTGTACTGCTCTATAAAGATGAAACAATACGAAGTAAGAAAATAAAAACAATCGCCTTTAACAATACAAAAACAACGTGTTTTTCACCGATCTTTCCTCGACTCAAATCCATCCAAAATTTTTTTCGAGTCCATACCAGTCCACGGTCTTGAAAGTTTGAGTCCAGTCCAGTCCGAGTCCATGAACTCAAAAAATTTTCATTCCAGTCCAGTCGATGTGCGGTGGAGTGGACTGAACTATGGACTCAGTTCAGTCCAAATGGAGCTCTCTTCGATATGGCAGCATGAAAAAATGACTAAAACACACGTAGCAACATGTTTCTAGATATCGTATCAAAGAATCAATTAGTACAACACTAGCTAGAAATGCTAGCATCTAAAAGAGCACCGGTTAGGCGACAATAATAAAAAAACGTGGTTTGTTCGTAATTGTTGAGAGACGGGGAATCTTAGTGATCAGAATGCAAGTATCTCGAGAGGCGCATGATTTACAGCTTTCAATGTTAGATAGTAGAAGTGCTTGCTGAACTTCACAAAAATGTGTTGTCTCATTGCCATCGCAAAGACTATTGTACAGTAATTAAGAATTTATTATAGTTTTTAGTACTGTGTTTGAATCGCGCGAGCAAAACTTCTATGGAGATATAAATCATTTTTTTATACATAGGACGACATGGGACTTTCTAGATAATGAGAAATTTGAGTGGAACGCTGATAATCAGAGACTTGCAAAGTGAAAATAGATGAAGATAAACTTTTTCACCGTTATTAAAAGCTATTGAACTTCGAAGTTGGGTGGGGTGTATTATTTCAGCTTATTGAATGACAATATGGTTCTTGATAACCAAACTCGACATCGATCACATGTTGAACGGCTGTTATTTTATTAAAAAAATAAAGAAAATAAATGTGAATTGTTAGGATCATGTCTTTGAATTAACAGAACCAACTACATTTTTGGAAGATGCTACATTCAGACATAAAAATGAGGAATATTAGCAAGAGTGAATCGCTCTGCGATCTTCAGAAAGTTGCGGTATTCGACTTTGTCTTAACTAGGCAACCCAAGAATCTTTTCAATACCTCTTTGTGATCTCCAAGTGTTATACAACAACAATACTTCTCAAAGAATATGCTGATTTGCAAAAACTGAGAGAACTTTCCGAATCTACTAACATTTCCGATGTTAAATACTAAAATGAGCAGAGATCTATTACAGGACAACTTGTTGCAATTTAGGCTTTAACAGATATGAAAGAAGCAAGAAAAAATTCACCGATTCGTCTTCTTAGAAAATCGAATTCGATTTTCCAACTATTTAGAAAATCGCTGTCGAATTTCAAGAATATTGGAAATTATTTATAGAAGATCGCTTTTGATTTTCTAGAATCTGGAAAATCTAGTCGATTTTCCACAATGTTGGAAATTATTTATAGAAAATCGATTTTGATTTTGCAACTTTTTAGAAAGTCCTTATCGATTTTCTGGCAAATGAGAAAAGTCAATTCATAGAAAATCGAGCAGATTTTCCATAAACTAGAAGAAAACCAATATTTTCTAAACAGTCAGAAAATTACTGAGGATTTTATAAAAGTTAGAAAATCCTTGGCGATTTTCCAGATCGATTTTCTATAAAGTAGAAAATAATTCCAAATTACAGTGTAACTATATTAAGAAAAAGGCAAATACGAAAGCTTTAGGGATAAAATGTGCTATAAAAATTTTTGACTAGTTCCATTTGTGACCAGATTTTTTTACTACGGACTTGTGTATAGTTAAAATTTCTAACATTAAACTTATATTAAATTAAATTCTAAACATCATTCCAAACATAACATCAATTCGATCATTTTTAATTTTAACTTCGACGGAGTGCGCCATTTCATTCTGCATGATCTGAATTCACTATCAGTATAGATCATTCTCACAATGGGACTATTTAGCAAAAGGAAGGTTAAAGCTACAAATTTAATTGATTGGAGAGAAAATTTTGGTATATCACCAAAAGAGTTAGATATATTAATGCGATCAAAAGAAGACGAAGCATATAATCTTATTTTGACGGAGCATGGTGGTATCAAACATTTATGCCAGAAATTACATTCAAATTCAGAAAGAGGTGATAACATTTTTTTATGATGATATTTAGATGTTGTTGTTGTTGTTACAGGTTTAGAGAACGATCCAGAAGATTTACAATTACGTCAGATAGTTTATGGGAAAAATGAGATCCCTCCGAAACCAGCTAAATCTTTTCTCCGATTATGCTGGGAAGCTGGTAAATACTCTATTTTTTTAGTTCAACTAATTGTTTTCGTAATAAATAATTTATTATTTGTTTTCTTCTGTTTTGTAGCTCAAGATCGTGTGTTATTAATACTAATGATCGCTGCTGTTGTGTCCATTGTTTTAAGTATAATTCTTCTTCATACACCTCAAGTGGATGCCGACAGTTTTAGTGATGATAATGAATGGTTAGATGGTGTTGCAATATGTCTAGCCATATTTATTGTTATAACGGTCACAGCACTGAATGACTGGCATAAAGAGAAACAATTTCGATCGTTACAAAATCGTATTGATAAAGATCACCTAACAACTGTTGTTCGAGCTGGAGATCTGACAGAAATTGTCTCAAATCAACTTGTTGTTGGTGATGTTTGTGTGATTAAATATGGCGACAACTGTCCAGGTAAAATAAAGACAATTTATTATTCATTATTTTAGCGACTTTAAAATTTCGTTTGTTGGTTATGTTTAGCTGATGGAATCGTATTATTTAGCACAAATTTAGAAGTCGATGAGTCAACATTAACCGGAGAAACCGATATGATCAGCAAGAGCACGAGAAATCCAATACTTTTGTCAGGTAAGCAGGTCGCTCACAAATTCGTTATTAGACTCTATTTCATTGATTTATCCAGATAAATTTATTCGTACATGATAACAATCTTAAAAAGATTATGTTGTTCTTATACGGTAGATTACTTGATCTTAACAGCTGTTTTACATTTCTTCTATTTTAATAGCTTGTACAGTCACTATACCCAAGTGGCCTAGTAATGTCAAAATATAGCAGATTTATTGCAATGATTGTATTCTTTAGCAGAGATCAACTTCTTGCGTAGATTATTCAGGAGGAGAGAGGTTATAGCCAGTTTCTCCATCAAACGATGCTGTCCCATCTTTTCCTCGTAGCTGCTTTATTGAAAGTCATAATATATTAAAGAAAATTTTTATTTTAAAACTACAGGTACACGTGTCATGGATGGAAATGGAAAAATGCTTGTAACTGCTGTGGGTCTCAATTCACAGACAGTGAGACTATAAAATGAATTATTTTCATTTGATACGCAACGAGCGTTTTGGTCTTTTGTTTAAGGGTAAAATTATGACATTACTTGGAGCTGCTGAAAAAGAAGGTAACAACTTTTCCAAGAGAGATAATAAATAAAATGCCATATGTCACTATTAAAGATGATGGTGATGAATCAGAAGCTGATTCAAAACAAATAAATATTCCGGCGAGAAAAGGACGATCGGTATTACAAGGAAAATTGCTTCGACTTGCTATACAAATTAGTGTAGCCGGAATATCAACAGCTATTCTCTGTTTCATCTTACTCACAACACGATATTCTTTGAGAACATATCATTTTGAGAAAAAAGGTAATACTATTGTACCATATCATATAGACTTTGTCTATTTTTTCTCATAAATAGCATGGCAAAATAGTCAGTTGCAACAATTTGTGCGTATTATTGTACAATCGCTTACAGTTATTGTCGTTTGTGTACCCGAAGGTCATTTTAAACTAACTTCTATTATTTTAAATTTGTTCATAAGTTTGTTCGTTTCAGGTTTACCATTAGGTACGAGCTCCTTTGTTTTTCTCAGTTGACTGGAGCAATAAGCTAACAAATCCTTTTGTTAGCTGTGACAATTGCACTGGCTTATGCCGTTAGACAAATGGTATATGATAATAATTATGTTCGGCATTTACACGCATGTGAAACAATGGGCAATGCTACAACAATATGTTCGGATAAAACTGGTACAATAACAACAAATCGAATGACAGCTGTTGAATGTTTCTTTGCAGGTCAATAGAAATAAAGGTTAACTATTATATTGAAGTTAAATAAATAATTTTCTTTATGTTAGTATAGGCCAACATATTACACAAATATTGAATGATAGAAGTTTTAACTATGACTTAACAGCAATATTGTTCGAAGCAATATCGATTAATAGCTCATACACATCAAAAATTGAAGTAAGTTTATAAGAACGTAATTCGGCTAGCTTTTAAAGATATATAATTTACTATTGAGTGCGTTCGTTGATTAATTTGTGAATTAGTCAACGAAAAGAAGAAAACTACCGGTATATCAATTAAATGATCAGTTTTTTCTCATCTATTCTTTTAATGTCGTTCGATGGGGGCATAGCTCAGTGGTAGAGCGCTCGTTTCGCATACGAGAGGTCGAGAGTTCGATCCCCTCTGCCTCCAGGTGGATATCTTTTTTCTTCGTACAATACTGTTCCTTACTTTAAAAATATCCTTTGCGTCTAAGTACAATATGGTTGTTCGAAGTGAATTAGTACAATTCAAGTAATTGCAGTACTGAGATCATGAATCTTTCGCTTTGGTGCTGAAGGTTGCATTTAACTACTTATGCACTTTGGTGAAAATAACTAGCTACATCATTTTAATCTAGGTACCGACACGAGAAAGTGAATTGCCACGACAATTAGGAAATAAAACTGAATGTGGATTATTAGGTTTAGTACAAACATTCGGTGGACATTATAACCTATTAAGACAAAAATATCCTGAAGAAGATTTTATCAAAGTTTATTCGTTTAATTCAAAGCGAAAATTAATGGCGACAGTTATAAGAAGAGAAAATACATTTCGATTATTTGTCAAAGGTGCATCGGAAGTGATTTTAGACAAGTAAGATCATCAAGATAAAAGAATTAATTAAATTAATTAAAAATATTAAAAATTAATTAAATTTAATAAATAATATTTGTTTTACAATAATTTAAGATGTGATTATGTACTGGATCAAAATAATACATCAGTAGCATTGAATAGCGATTTCAGCGAATATTTAGTAACAGTTATTAAACAAATGGCATCACGAGGTCTAAGAACAATAGCTGTTGCTTATAGAGATTTGGTTGTATCAGATGGTAGTATACGTGGCATTTTTATTGTCTTATATAAAGTAAATAAAAAAATTTGCTTTTGTCGTTTTACTAGTGTCACGAAATGTAATTGAAAATGAAGATGTTGCCATTGATAAACTAATACTGATAGCCATTGTCGGTCTGCAAGATCCAGTCAGAAATGAAGTGCGGATTGGCTGGTTACCGAACGTTAGAAAAATATTTGTATTTTCGTTTTGGTATTTTTAGGTACCTGATGCCATTCAAAAATGTCAAAAAGCTGGTGTGATTGTACGAATGATTACGGTACTATTCCTTTTGAAGTTTTTTTAACTACTCAAAAATTTGACTTCAATTAACACAGGGTGATAATATTGAAACAGCTCGAAGTATCGCCATCAGTTGTGGAATACTTAATCCATTGTCAAATCATTTGATTCTTGAAGGAAAAGTATTTAATTCGTTGATTCGAGAATCTGAGACAGGACGAGTACAGTTTAACTGGAAACTTTTATTAACAAGAAAAGTGACAATATTTTTTTTAGATACAACAAGATAAACTAGACAAAATTTGGCCAAAACTTCGCGTATTAGCAAGATCAACGCCGGAAGATAAATTTAATTTAGTTAATGGTATTGTTGAATCCAGAATAACACGACACAGAGAAGTTGTAGCTGTTACGGGTCAGTATATTTTCTTGTAAGGATTTAAGATACATTTTGAAACCGTTTACACTAATAGCTTTCTATTTTTTTCTATTAAACAGGAGATGGTACGAATGATGGACCCGCACTTAAACGTGCCGGTAGGTGTCTTTTAAAAATCACACTCATGAATATTAGTTAATTTATTATGATCTTTTAGATGTTGGGTTTGCCATGGTAGGCTCTGTATACTAGAACAATAATTACTTGAGTTTGATGATGATACTATTTCATGTTAAGGGAATCACAGGAACGGATATAGCAAAAGAAGCGAGTGATATTATATTAACTGATGATAATTTTCAAAGTATTGTGAAAGCATTAATATGGGGAAGAAATGTGTACGATAGTATTGCAAAATTTTTACAATTTCAATTAACTGTTAATGTATCAGCTACCATCTTGACACTTATGTCTGCTGGATTTATTGGCGAATTAGCACTAAAAGCAATTCAAATGTTATGGGTTAATCTTGTCATGTATGTTTTTCATTTAAACAAATTTATTCAAGAATTGAAATTTATTTGGAACATCGTCTCAGGGATACATTGGCATCATTAGCATTAGCAACCGAACCACCATCAGAAGATGTTTTGAGTCGTGTCTCGTATGGAAGAACAAGAGGTGCATATAAAACCATGTCTGTCGTATTCAGTTTGTATGAATTTTTAAATTAATAGCAACAAAAGAATAGAACAACAATTAACCTAAATTTGTTTTCATAAATTCATATTTCATATCACTGGAACAAACAAAATAAAGTTGGTTTTGAGTTGCTGAAAAGTGCTTTTTCAGCACACGTATTCAGCACACTCGATAACACAGAAGATTTTCTATTATTGGCGAGGGGTACTTCCAAAGGTTTCAGAAAAATTTTGAAACAAAATGGTGCAAAAAATTTTTCATGGGAAAATAATATTTGTTTGAAAAATTTTCCTAAAGTTTTGGAAGTATCCCTCGCCAAAAATAGAAAATCTGCTGGATTATCGAGTGTGTTGAATATGAAAAAGCACTTTTCAGCGACTCAAAACCAACTTTATTTTTTTTTGTTCCGGTGATATTCACTATTATTTCTAGGTTTAATATCTCCAATCATGGCTCGAAACATATTGTTACATGCATTGTATCAAATACTAGTGCTATTTTTTCTCGTCTATTTTGGTACGAATAGTTTCTAGAAAGTTTGTATGTGGATTAATTCATACTACTTGTAGCTCCACCTATCCTCGATGTTGATAGTGTCACCAAATTGTTACAAACTGATCCCGTGGCAGCAAGACGACCATCTGAACATTTTACAATTATATTTAATACTTTTGTTCAAATGACATTGTTTAATGAAATCAATGCTAGAAAACTACATGGAGAAAAAAATGTATTTCGAGGTACAGTGTCTACTTTATTCCTTACAAGTTTTAGTAGGAAAATTAGTATTATGTGGCGTTGATCAATTAATTGATAGGACTAATACAGCATACATGGTTTATTGCAATCTGGACACTGTGTTTCATTCTACAAGTAAAAATATAACAGTATCTATTTTATTAGTATTTCACTTTTTTATCGAAAAGATTTTGATCGTCCAATTTGGTGGTAAAGCATTCTCATGTGAAAAACTAAATTTCACATTTTGGCTGTGGTGTTTGATCTTTGGCGTTGGAGAATTGTTAATCGGTCAGGTTCGTACTTTTGTTAAAATCTTTAGATATATAATTTTATAGTTCACAAGATTTTCATAGATCTCAATTGGTCTCTTTATATTACAGCTGATCTCATTTATACCACCGGAACCGTTTTACAATTTTCTGTCACCTATTATAAACTTTTTCATGAGATCTTGGCCATATTGTAAACTATCACATAAAGGAATTGAAGAAAATCTTACTGAAGGAAGTGATGATGATGAAGTACAAATTCCATCCAAAGCACTCGATCCTTGGCTAAGAGGAATCGAGCGAATTCGCGCACACGTAAATACGTTTTTCTTCTCTGTGATAACTGATGTGACTACAAGTATGCATTTTTTGTTCTAGTTAGAGTTTCTTGAAACATTTGAGCGTACAATGTTGAGAAAAGGTGCAACAAATTCAATATCAAATGACGTTAGTAGAGGCGAGAAAATTTAAAAAGTTGAAAATGGTGAAGATTCCATTTGTTCTACCCGAAACTTTGTATCTTTTTTCATAATAAAAATAAACATCTAGCTAAATATACCGATGCAAATGACAAAAGTCGTTCGACGGTTTCAGCGAGTACTCGAAAATAGGCCCATTTTTCGAGCACCCGAAGTATCCGTCAACAGGTCGCTGGGTATAGACTTCGTGCTAACGGGAAACAAAAAAAGCTCTTGATCCATGTATAGCTCGGATTTGTGTTAAATATACTGTCTTCTCAATTTCATTCTCAACAGGAAGGAAAATTTGTTCACATTCTTTTTTCCATGAAGAAAAAAAGAGACATAAAAGAAGCCATGAAAACTAATCTTATGAACTTGTTGAATAAAGCACTTTTTAATAATAGATTTCATAACAAAGAATAAACAAATGGCTTGCAAGTGCGTGCGTCTTATTCTTTGAAATTATAAGGCAATAAGCAAGAAGAGAAAAACAGCTAACATATACACTAACGCTCCATCATCTTTATTGTAACAAAAAATTTTTTTATTTACATCTGTTACTATAATGGGTGTATATCATTTGAAAAATCGGTAAGTAGAAAAAATTTAATATGGTTTTTCAAGGTCCTGTATGTTTTGCTTCGTTAATAATACGATTCCTTAAATATTCCAAGATATATGCTCCTGTTTTGTCCTCCTTTCATCTATCCGGTACACACGGATAACTATCTCCATACATAACATGCTAGGCAACTTACAAAATAGAAATATTTATCACTTCATTCTTTAACATCAAAGCCTCCTTTGAATGACAACATATATATATATCGAATGGACTCTACCTGTCTCTTCTCTACAGCTATTTAGTTTTTGTGTATTAAGTAATACGTGTGTGATCTCTGCTGTAATATATATATATATTTAAAAAAATTTTGAAAAAATAGACACACTACTTATACGCGTACTTCCGATTAGTTAAAACGCGAAAACTAAAAATCAAAAACTTGAAAAAAAAATCAACGAAGGCGAAATGAAAACGTATACATGTATATGTGCAAATACACATTTCTTTTTGGCAAGTAACTCGACGCGATGTGTATGACTGCGGTCTCTAACGTATAGTGTATATAATCTATATATTTTTAAAAAAAAAGCCGTTGCGTGTACAGAATTAGAATAGAACGCAAAAGAAGAAAAAAAAAGGAGAGAATTTTTTTTGTATTGAACAAATTACATGGGCTCTCAATCTATGAACGTACATATTTCTCTCATCATTGTCCATGGTTGTCTTTGTTTGTCGCCGTATACAACCAGTCATTCACATATTTCTATAAACTGAAAAACGCACGAAATATAATTCGCAGCATGCTGTAACTATCTGGTAAGAAATCGTATTTATTGATCTTTCTTCATTTTCAAATTTGGAATGTTATTATCTCTTTGATGGCAATATACTTCCCTTTGGTTTGAAATGTCACATTGCTGTTTACTGTCTTTATTAATCTTAAAAACAATAACTAACATACCGTCTCCTATTGTACCAGAGTTAATCGTTTACAAGACTTTCTTCATGTTGGCAATAGCTACACTAATTACACATACAACGAAGGTTTTTATTTCCATCAACTTCTGTTCTTCATGTGAGAACAAGACTCTTTCACGCTGAAAATCTTCTTCGAATCTCTGAAAGAGTATTACAAACATTTTTAACTTTATTTTTTGATCTAGTCTGCTTTTAGTAACATATCTAGGACAAAACAAGTCTTCTACTGCGTTCGGTGCTGCTGCCCCATAATTATTCTTTTTTGTTTAACAAAAAGTATTTGGTGAAAGACTCTTTTCAGTACTCTTTCTTTTATCTCTCTCTCCCTCTCATTGGTAAGATATATTTCAGTTTTTTTTGGTCAGATAAACACGAGTATGATGTGCTTTGTTCTGTTTTTTCTGTAGTAGTGGACCGGCTTAGTAAATTTAATGAGAAAGAATATTAACGTCATGTTTTATTAAAAATGATTTTGTATGTGTGGCTATAACAACATGCAAATGTTCAAAGAACGGTATATTGTATTAGTTCCATGTGGTATTGTCATTAATTAGTTAGTTATGATTATAAATATGCTTTTTTTGTTCTTGTGCTGCTTTCTCGCATGTATAAAATCGTCTAGTGTGAATAAAGAGAAAAAAAATAAATTGATAGATATAGAATACACATGCAATTGTTGATGATGAGACTTTTATATGTATATGTTCGAATATCGTCTTAGAAATAGTATTCTTCTTTATTTCCATTAATCTTCACTATTTTGGGATTGAAACGGCTATCGAAAGAGCTCTTAAAAACAGTATCATATATTGATTACATTCTAATGGCACTTCAATTGTCATGAATAAAGAATCTCAAAGGCAAGTATCTGTAGAGAGGATTGAAGAGATTTAAAGGTTGTATATATACAACGTAATTGTTTCGTAAAGAAAATTTATTAATAGAACATATGTTTAGTAATGATTACATCATTTCACCATGTAAGGTAGAACAGTTACGATGGTGTTATGTGCCTGTTAGAATATTGGTGAGATTTAATATTACATTTGTCGTTTTATCTTAGTATTATTTGTTATGTATTTTCATAAAGAAACATGTTCATAATCTTATTCAGCAAATTATTCTAAAATTTGGTCATTTTTAACGGTTAGTTAACTAAAATATATCCAAGTACTTTACTTTGATTATCTTTATATGGAATATTTTAACAACTGATTAAACTTAATAGTAACTACAACTTCAGTGATGTTATCCTTCAAAATCATTTAGTTCTCAATCATATTTATGGATTATATAGATTTGATCATCAAATAGTCGTAATAGAGGTTTTTGGAGAGTAGAAGAATAATGTTACTTCGCATGTACACTGAGATAGTAATTCAGAACTCTCTCTTTTTGCCCTATTCACAGATTAGAGAACGACTTTCTATTTGACACGGTAAATACTATACATTCAGTTTAATCATCTTTACTTCGAAAGCTGTTTATAGAATAATCGATTTATGTCTAATTGTCTTTGAACCAAATAGTGTGTTCAAACACAAAAGGCATTTTTTTGTTTTCTATCACAAATTGAACGTTAGTTAGTTAGTCACTGTTTGCCGTAAATATAATCCAATTATCCAATTTAAGCGATAGATATCAAACAAAAAAAAATGTAGCTTTTTTTATTTTGGCTTTTATATATTCTTGTTCATTTTCTTGATACTGTACACAACACGAAGAAATGACTAACGTCTTATAATTTTATATTTTATCATTTTGAAAAAGAAGGTTTTTTTAATTAAACTAATGACAATCAAGTATTTTTTTAACTGTATATGTGAATTGAAATCATATATGACAAGGTAAATATGTATATTTTTTGTTTAAATATACATATCACGTATATTTAAACATTTTTACATCTAATCAGTTTGAGTGTACGCTTTAAGTTAAACGAAAATTAAAAAGCTTTATAGCACCTTCATTATTGACTTGGATATTTAAAATATTTTAACTGAGTATATGCATACCTACTTGACTCGTTTTTTTATACAAGGTAGGAGGACTCATATGTCCTACCCTAGAAGTAAAATAACTCATTTTTACTTAGGGCATTTTGGTACACACTAGAGTATCTCGTTAAAAATATGCTTTTTTGAATGAAAAAAAAAGAGAACATATGCACAAGGTTATGTATTAGCTAACAATGGTGCTTTCTTTCGATTTCTTTAACCGGTTGAGAAACACATTTGGTTCAGTGATAGTTGATGATGTGTTAGACCGATATTGTCAGTGACAACTAAACAGATCATTAGTCAATATTTGTCTCACTAAACATGACATTAAATTTGTTATCTCCAAAGATTATTTGTAATATTTTTAAACGTAACAAAATTGTATATTTATACCTCTCGGTTTCTTTTTTTGTCTAAGTAGACAATCAAATGATAGATTGAGAGAATCTATTGTGATATTAATACGTTCTATTTATGTTTTTGAAATCATCACTTGTTTTATAAATATTAATCGTTATTAAACTGTGTTTTTTTTTTATTCTTCTGTTGCTTTAGAACAATTGATTTATGTTCTGATGTAACGACAACGTCAACAAAAGAATCGATTCATAGAATGTTACATTCAGCAATACCAAATTCACGTTCACCAACGTCTGATGATGATTCAGGATGTGCAATTGAAGAATATGCGTGGGTTCCACCTGGTTTAAAAGCAGATCAAGTAAGTTTTAGTTATCATTCTATATTCGTTAGACATATGAATATGATTTATTATTTTGTTGGTATTTTTTAAACTGTACACATTCTTTAGCAGACAAATACTCTTACACTGATAAGAATATATTTAGATAGACTATATATGATTAGATTTCGATGTACTCCACTTGACCTATTTTGTTCCTTATTAGATTTAATCAGCCTTATGAGAGTATTTGATAAACTACACGTACAACACTTTCGATATGTATGTGTATAATATGTGCTATCGTTTCTTTTGTTTATAAGAAAATATATACATAAAGATATAAGTGCGAATGATAAAATGGACAAAGCTTAACTCAAATAGTTATTAATTAACTGATTGGAATTTTATTCAACCTCATTAAAAGTGACTTTTTTGTCTGTGGTTGAATAAATGATCATTTCAAGGTTTTCTAACATAGGATGAAGAAAAACTAATAACCTACAATTTGCTTTGTATTCTGTTTAAATTTAGTCTCTATTCTTGTTATTATAGGTTAGACAATTTTTCAAATGTTTACCGGAGGAAAAAGTGCCATATATCAATTCAATTGGAGAAAAATATCGTACAGTATGTTTATTATAGTCATTTTTTTTTTATTGTTTTCTTCAAAATGTCTGCTACTTTTTTTTATTCAGAAAAAATTAGAAGAACAATTACCACCACACGATTCTGATCCGAAACATTGTCGATATTTGACTGAAGAAGAAAAAAATGAATTGAAAATATTTAGTGAACAACAGCGACAATCGGCACTCGGGCGTGGTACTGCCAAACAAATATCATTAACACAACCATCGTTGACCTGTTGTGGAGTAAGTTTTCATCCACATATATATCATCATTGTCATTTATCTCGTTTACTGTGGTGATAGTTGTTATTTTGATCTATTTATTTTCTTTAACATAACACACACACGTACACAGTAAGACATTGTTTACTACTGTCCAGTGTAACCTATGTGATATAATACATATAACCTTCACCACCACTACCAATTACCACTACAGTAGGGATAACACATACATAACTAAAAACGTATGCGTTTTTTTTATTTCTTTTATTCTTCTTACGCATGTATATTGTGCGTGTAAATTATCAATATGAATATTGATTAATTTAGTGATAACAATGACAGACCCTTAAAGAAACGATTGTTTAACTCTTAAATGTGACCTTCTCATATGTATGTTATGAGTGAATACTGATAAAAATTGAATTAGAGTAATCTGTCTTAAAGAAACTGCTAAATTTTTTCGCTAATGGTAGTGAGTTGAACTGTTAATAACAATTTTATAACAAAAATCGTTTTCTTCTACACTAATAATAATAAGTCATATGATTATCGTAATATGAACAGATTATTACAGTCATTCATGTATATTTGAAATGAAACGGTTGTAGATGTTTCTTCATACTTCAACCTGATAACTATGCTAGATAAAATAACAAAAATGTATATCTTATGACTCGCCACGTTATATTTTGAAACCAATTTGTTCTTTTGTATTTTTTAACAATGCCCACTCTCTTTTGGAACTGGTATTAGAATACGAGTATCAGATTGCCTAGTTTTTATTCATGATCAAAGAATTTATTTATTTGTTTCCTATCTTATGTATACTGCGTATTTATTACACTTGCCAATATGGTGAGTTAATCAACAGAACAACAACAACAACAACAACTGCTTAGTTGATGTGATTTTTCATAACTTTACTATCTCATTTCAGTTTGAAAAAAAAAATTAGATAATGAGAAATAAAATGATAAAACATGAAATGTTTTATTCTGTTTGACGAACAATAATATTTGTCTTAGGGAAGAAACTAACACTTATCTGACCTGTTCTGAATACAAAAGAAAGAAACAACACATCTTATCTGATCAGGAAAATCTTCCATTGTGCATTATCCTTGTTATATTTGTGCACTACATCATCACTAAAATGGTTTAGTTAATAATAAATTATCACATTCTTTTTCACGTAATGCGTTATAATAGTAAGAGACAAATACTAGACGATAAAATAGAGATATGCATCTTTATTGCTTATATATTATTGACGATGATATACCCGCCTTTCGTTTTTTCGAGATTACACAAAGGGTTATTACTTGTTCATCCGTGTGTGTTTTTCAAAAAAAATTGTTTTCAATCAAAAATACAAGATAATATTTCGTATTAGAGATATGATGTAAGATACATATACCATCTTAAAGTAAGAGAGAAAGAAGAAGAGTTAATTATAACACACACGAGTTAATAGTTATGAACGCATGTTTTTCTTTATGGTGTAGATGTCAGTCAGTCAATCAATCAATCATCTGAAAAGTTCATTAGTCTCATTCATAGGATCACTTGTAATGGCATTTTCATGGAGCGAAGAATACGCCGTCAATTTGTATTCGTTTCTTTATGTTTTCAAATCGAAAACAAATGTTGTGTTCAAAATAAAAGGACGTAAAGATAATAATTCTGAATAATGATGTTTAATGTATTAAACATTGTATTGTGATAGATATAAAAATAAAGTATAATAGATTCCTACAAAAATAAATTGAATAGGCCACTTCTTATAACGAACTAACTACTTTATCAAGAAGTGTTTAATCAGTAATGATACTGTCTGTCTCTCGACCTACTATATAATAATAAAAGTTTCTCAACTATGTATACTACCAAAAATAAGTGAATATCAAAGTTAGGTCAACTAAGACTCTGAAGAAAATTCCAAAAGAACCGATTGAAGGATACTATAGTACTGTGACATTTTCGTGAAGTTTATAGCTCGTCAGCTGAGCAACGTATACAGTTGGGGAACGTCTTGTTTTGTAGCTTTTTTTTTAAATGGTAAGTAAGCAAAGTCTAGCAAATGAAATGGTTTAATTAGCATAATGTTTTAGATACAACACCACATTCGTACAAAAGGGCCTTATTAGGGTGAATTGTAGGCAAGTGTTTAGAGTAGAGCAAGACTTTCCGTAATTACCATTTGAAAGAAAAATCTTTATGCTAGAAATAAGAGATGTTCTCCACTCTGTACGTTGTTCGATTGAAGAGCTATGAATTCCAGAGAATGTTATAGACTTACGTTTTTTGACTGGCACGCTTGAACACCTGTCAAAAAAGCCTTAACAGGACTATTCGTTATCACTATATGTTTGTGAAGGATGCGAAAGATTATTTGAATTCTATTTTTACTAGCTTAAATGTGAGGTTGTACAGCTGTGATATCATAGCAATTGTTCAAAATTTAAATGATTCTGTTTCATTTTACTTGTAATGAGTAACAAATGTAATTATTGATGGAAGACTGTTGTTTCTACTTGCATCATCATGAACAAAAACATTTGAAAACGGATCGATCTCAAAAATTTGATTTATTTCTTTTTTTTTCAATTTTTCAGTGTCAGAAGTCAATTGAATCGGGCTCAGTCGCTGTTCATGCTGAGCGTGGAGGGCGAAATGGTTATTGGCATCCACAGTGTTTCGCGTGTAAAATATGCAAAGAATTTTTGGCCAATTTAATTTATTATTACAAAGATGGAAATTTGTATTGTGGACGACATCACGCTGAATTGTACAAACCAAGATGTTCCGCGTGTGATGAGGTAAGCAGTTTTTGTTGCAGTCAAATTTTCTTTAGAAAAGTACAACACCAACATTTGTCAGATTAACGTCGAAGGATACTTTTAGTGACTTTCTCATCGACGTTCAATAGGCGTAGTCTGATACTAATAGTGTTGCGTAAAGAAGTGTTGACAATGCACATGATAGAGTAATGATGACAGACAAATCGTTTTGTATTTATATTATTTCACTGTTGTTCGGACCATCACTTCATTTTTTTCAATACAAACGCATAACACAAATAATACATCGCTCTTTTTCTCTGTGCCACTCACACATATGTTTTGGTCCTAGTTAGGTGATCTTTTTTTTTGTATATTCAAAACAAGAGAGAACTGATACTTGTCATTTAATGCATTCGAGAAAAATGTGTATGTAACAAAACAAGAACGGCATTCTATTTATTGTGCGTTGTCTATAAAATGTATGATCGATTATTATTGTCTCTTTTATGAAATTTACTCATCGTATTTACAACGTTAAGCTTTTTTTGACAATAGTTTCATTGTATTATTATGCAAACCATCCTATGCCACAAACTGAACTGTTTTAATCTTAAGACAGTGATACTGGAACGCAGAATGCGGAAGAATATTGTTTCGGTTAGATGAGAGATTCATCACAGTGTCAATACACGAAATGGAGCGAGAGTTTTTTGGGCTTGTGTTACAAGTTTTGTGTCAATATTTATAAGTTTTAGGAAAAAGTAATTAATTTCAAAAATGTTTGATTTAAATACCATCACATATTTTTGCATTCATTGCAAGCATATTCCTACAGATTTCATTCTAGCTCTCTATCAATGTAAGACTAGAAATTAATCATGTAAGAAAAAAACCTAATCGACTGGACCTTTTGTGTTTTTCTTCAAATTCTATACCATTTTTTGAACCGATAATTTCTCTCTTTTTACGCACGTATATTATGTATTTAGATTATATTTGCTGACGAATGTACCGAAGCTGAAGGTTATTCTTGGCATATGGATCATTTTTGTTGTAATAATTGTTCAAAACGTTTGGGTGGTGAACGTTATGTGATGAGAAATCATCATCCATATTGTTTAAATTGTTTTGAGATAATGTACGCTGAATACTGTGATACATGTGGTGAACAAATTCAAACCGATCAACCACAAATGGCACATGAAAGTCAACATTGGCATGCAACAGATCAATGTTTTTATTGTTATACCTGTCGTATACCGTTACAAAACCGTGGATTTTTTCCCAAATTTGGCGCACTCTATTGTTCAAATGAATGTGCTCGACAACGTACATCATCATCAAAACCAACACATATCAAAGATGATTACATGACAGACAATGGTCCCGATATCATACCAACTTTTGGTACACATGCCAAACTTCAACAACATTCACGACCACCACCAACATTGTTACAAAAACAACAACCCGTGAAAACAAATTTTTCATCATCGGCTAATAATACAAACGGTATACAACTAAAAAGTGGTTTAAGAAATAATGGTACATCCTCATCACCCTATCGTAATCAGACATCAAAATCCTCGGCACCAATCTCAAAGAATTCTGGAAGATATGTTAGTAGCCATATACCAGGTGGATATGTCTCAGATGGACCATGTTTAATGCATAAACGAGAAACGTCAAGTGGTTATATGTCGGATGGAACAGCTGCTAAACGACAGACAACTAATATGTAAGTTCGAGACCATTTGTTTAAAAATTTGAAAATTTTGTCATTTTCTGTTTATTTTAGAAATAATGGTTATGTTGGTAAACCACAAGTATTTTTGCAATTTCAATCACAACAACAGAATCCAGGTAATCGTCAAAAACCGATCAATATATCAAAAAGTCGTTCTCGTGAACCGATAACATTTTATAATGATTTAAATCTCGATCAATTAGATCGTGACGGTGCTGCTTTGGAAATTGCACGATATAGCTCAACAAAACCAAACACTGGTTCAAGTTCCAAATCATCTCGATCATCATTGCCCGATTTACGTCGAAAAATACTAATTGAACAACAGAATAAATACCCAACTAACAATGATAATAACATGAATACAATGACATATTCCCAAGAAACATTAACTGATCAAAATTCAAATAATTATTATGATAATCGACATTCTCGTTCATCATCTCGTATTAAACATTTTGATTCAAATGAAATAATGTACCCTATATCGAGACCAAAGTCTGTTCATTGTTCAACATCAAACAATCAGTTTCCGCGATCAAAATCTCTAAATGGTTCAAGTCGTTTTTCATCATCAACAACGAAACAGCATCATCATGTTCGTTTCGAAGATGAACAACAACAACAACAACAACAACACTATTCATCGGCAAATTGTCGTAATTCTTATCAGCGGAAAAAGAATCCATCACCATCACAACAAAACTATCAGTATCGAAAATATCGACATCATCCACAATTAATCAATGATTATTCCTGTTCAAGTTCATCATCGGATGAATATGATGATTTCGACAATATCTATAATCAATATGATATTAATGTTAATCGTCTGAAAAAATCAAATACTGGAGTTAAAATAAGTTATGTTGACGATTGTTTACAACAAACACACACATCAACATCAAATCGAGGGATGAGAAAAAAAGATCAACAACAACAACAACCGCAGCAGCAGAAAAAACAACGACGAAAGAAAGATTGTATTATTAGCTAACATATTTATTTTTCTATGTTAGTTTATGTCATAGTAATAAATTGTTTTCTCAGGAAGGAAAAATGTTAATTATTTCGTTGTCTCTTATCTGTTTTAGTTGAATAAATCTATTTAAATAAGTGTGCGTGTGTTTTGTCATTTCTCTTGTTATTAGTTTATTATACTGAAAAAAATAACGGTTAGAATTTTGTATCTTGATCGAATCTTTAAATTTCTATATAGAATGTCATTTATCCTTTCGGTTTTCTTAACGGTTTTTGACATTTTCTTTATTAAAGTTTTGTTCTTTTTTTTGAAATTATTTTTCACATCCTCTCTGTTTCATTTTTGTGTGATGAAAAATATATACAGTTTTGCTACCTGATATGCACTCTAATACAAATATCCTCTTGCAGGAGACTGAATTACAAAAAGTAAAAGTCAGAATCTGTTATGCTATAGTAAGTTTGAAGAAAATCTTCGTGTGTAGCTAACAGATCGAAAACACCGTACTGATATAGATGTTCATTATATAATTCGAAGAAAAAGTATTGAAACGATGATTGTATTGCCACTAACGCAAAAAACTGTATCAGATATTACGTTTTAGATAAACCGTAACAAATCGTGCGATAAACTACTAGTTTAGAATATTTCATATTTCCATCTCCTATTTAGTTCACTGACGTTTCAAATTGAAGTCTTCTCAACAATATCGTATTATTGTGATCATCTTCCGTAGTACAGCACGAAAAATGTGTCCTCGAGTCCATTGCTTCAACAAAATATAATAATATCTGTCCTATAAAAAACTTAACATTTAAAAAATAAAATCTTTGGGCCTTATTGAAGATATATGGAGTTGTAGAAAAGTTTTCTAAGAACCTTGACAAGCTGACTTTTCGAAAAAATTTTACTTTTCAATAAAAAAAGCAAATCCAACAATACTTTCAATAACACTAGGAAATAGAGCAAACATTTCTGACCAAAATGAGATATCTCCCAGCTCTGAGTGACGTTCTAATCAAGAGTTATGAGAGTTTTGCTGGAAGTCCTACAACATGCATCAGATACTGGCACCACCATATCTCGGCGCGGCTCCCACCTTAACACCACGTCATAGCTGCAAGATTTTTCGGTAAGGAAACATCGCAGAGAGCTCGGGAAGGTCTTAAATTGACACTGACATGTATGGCCAGAGGCTTATAGAGCCCAATTTTTGATATTTGGCCTAGTTTTGTGGTTAGAAAAATATCTTTATGCAAGCAAGTAAGAGACCTTTTCGAATTTTAACGGCTTAAAACGTGTTTCTAAAATACTCTTCTTTAACATAAGATCTATATCTAAAACAAAATGATAGTTCTTAATATGTCTTCGTACTTGCGCATGTTTATTCCATCTGTGAAAGAGTGAATTGTTTTTCAATTAATATTTATTTTATATTATAATTTAGTTAAGATTTGAGAATTTGTGGATGAATATGTGATATACCATAGCTGTGCCTTAACATCCCAAGTCTTTTACTTTAAGTTATTCATTTAAATCTACTAGTGTGTTTAGTTGGTAAATTGCTAACTAAAAGTGAATTTTGTCATTCGATACAACCTAAAATTTATAACTTACTTTTATCGAAATCAAATGGAGATTGATAAAATAAAAATGACACAAAAGAAATGTCATAGACTGACTGATTGATTGAACAATTTGAGAAAATATTTTTAAGACTTATAAGACAGTTTTCGACTTATTTTTTTATTGGTGAAGCCTGTCATCTTATATACAATAACTCCAATGATCATGTTGATGAATCTTGTAACGAATTATATTAACGGCTTCTCTTACCTTCGATTAATTGTGCATGTTTTTCGCTTTTGGCTGATCGTATGGTCAAGTGTGGTGTCAAGCAGTACCGATGTATTTATCATCAAAAAACAAAATTGTCACACTGAACCTGCTTTTGTAGGGCAATGATTAGTTTTTTAATTACAGATACTTTTATTTAATTTTAAATTAATAAGAGTATAACATTATTCTCTAAAAACTTCCGTATCGTACAGAACCAAAAAAGGGTATTTCCATGTCGGTCGGGATACCCTTTTTTTGAAAAATTGTATAGAATGATCAGGCCGGGTAGGACTTGGATCGTAAAGTATTTTGGTCGGATCAGACCAGCCCAAACTCAAAATTTTTAAGTATGCATGGATTTGTAATTTATGTGTATACTCAGTACCAAGAAAGAGTATTATCACTGTTACGCGACATCTTAATGACTTCGTTTAGCTAATGCCTTTAAAAGTTGAACAAATGAAAACCGAGAAATCATAAAGATATAAATAATAGCTTGAGAAATACATTTACACCACTTAGCCAGCGAAAGCGTGACAGATGCAAGAAAAAAACCACACCTAAGAACAGAAAATTTTAAAAGTGGTCGGGCCGGGCCAGGTAAATTCCGCGTTTGGTCGGGCCGAGTCGGGCTTGGTCCGGAAACTTTCATCATCGGTTCGGGCTGGGCCAGAAATTTTCGGCTCGTGCGGATCTCTGATCAGCATTTGTTACTCAGAGATTCAAAAAAAGGGTATCCCGGCATGGAAATGCCCTTTTTTTGTTCGGTATGATATGATAACTTTTTAGAGAACAGTAGGTGCCAGTACTATACACCCATGCGCTCATATCCATGCAGCATTGACACTTCTCTTATGAAATTAGAAAAAGACGAAATCAAAAAGATATTGAATATATTATAAGTGTATTGTAATGTTTATGTAGACATACGTAGGGCGCTCAAAAAGTTCCCGAACTGATTATTTTTTAAAAAAACAAAAACCTTTATGATGCTAAAAATCAACCTTTTTTTGCAAAAGATACATCTTGAAATTCTCATAGATAGTAAGTAATACAATTAATAGAATAGAGAGTACCATTGAAATCACATCGACTATTATTAGAGTCATAATAATTTCCATTAATATTTGCATTAACGACATAAATCTGAATTTCATATTGTTAATTATCGTTAAGTCAAAACTTCAGAAACATTTCGAAGATCTAATTTTAATTAAAAATGTGCCTTAGCTCATATTACTAGATGAATAATAAGTTTAATATTAATTCATATCCTATTTTCTTAGATATTGTAATTGTTTGTATGATCTCAGATCTCAGTGATGGTATTTTCAATACAAAAGTTTGAGATGCTGTATTATGAATGTTTTTCTTAAAAATAAAAATGTAACACTTCATTATACTGAGCAATAACAGTTGATTAATAAAAATTTGTACAAAAAAATATGAATTCAAATTAAATTGTATTCGTATGTCTTTCACAAAATTCAACAATTCTCATACATGCTTCCTGAGTTTTTTCGAATGGTGCTGTTAGTACCAAACGAATATAATTTGAAATTCCAAATACCTATACAATCAATAATGATGATTAATAAAAATATAGAATTTTTTTTTAACTTACAGATGCTGGTAGACATGAAAGAGATTCTTCATCAATTAATTTCTTGAAAAGATCTGTGTCACTTTCGATATCTCTGAATGCTGTTACATCAATTCCAATCTGAAAAACGTAAATCTGTTAGAATTTTGATGTATTCAAGTAGACGAACGAACACTACTCACGAGCATATACATCGCACCACTAGGCATAATTGGTTTTAATCCGGGAACACTTGACAATGTTTCATAGCAAAATTGGGCATTCATCTGAAATAGTATGTGGTACAATAGGATACTGTAGTATTAGCAACATTTTAAAACCGTACCTGAATTTGAGTAATAATCTCGTCAAAATAGGACTGTGGTGTTTGGGTTAAAATATACGGTAATGCCGCTTGAATAATAGAGTTCGGACCAAGAATGCGACTTGAAAGATCCAGCAAACCCGGTTTAATTGCGTCTAGGAATACAAATAACAATGCTAACTCAAACTATTTCACAATGAATCTATGTTTTGTATTAAATCTACTTTTTTGAATACGTTGATTCGAAATATATAGTTTTAATATATTTCGCTTTACCTTTGAATAAGTCTTGTCGATCATGAATTGCAATCCATCCTAATCGCCACCCGGGGCAAATATAACGCTTTGATATTCCACCACAAGAGAGAATAGGTACAGTTTTAGATAAAGAAGCAAGAAAGTAAAATTCACATCCAGGAAAGACCTATTAAAACGAAAAAGAAAGTATTAGTGTCACAAAAACTCTTTATTTCTTACCATATCGGCGTATATTTCATCTGCGATAATTGGTAAACAATTTTTCTCACATAAATCAATTATTGAACACAGATGTTCTTTTCCATACACAGCACCGCAGGGATTAGACTAAAAGATTAAGAAAATTGAATGTGAACCCAAAAATTTGAAAAACTACGACTTCAATAATTACCGGATTATTGATTAAGATGGCTTTTGTTTTTTCATTAATCATAGATTGAAGATGATCGAGATCCACTTCCCAACATTTATCGGGCTATAAAAAAAAAGTAAAAAACATGTAATTAAACATCTCCCAGATATCAATTAGATAAACTTATACAATTAAATCGTAGAAACGTGTTTCAATGTTCAACGATTTACATAATGTCACATATAAAGAAAATCCAGGCCGAGGAAGTAAAATATTGTCACCCGGATTGGCGAGACAGTTGATACACATTTCAAGTGCGTGGGAACACCCGCTGGTTAGTATAATGTCCTAAAATAAAAAAGTTTATTAGAAACCCGTTAGACAGAACAATAAAAAAAACCTTATACGTCAAATTTTAATTGACAATTTGGTTTTGTCCACAACTCGGCTACTGCTTGTCGAGCTGCTTCTAAACCAAAACTCGGAACATAACCATGTGATGTCGGTTTCTGAACAGCCTCAGTCACAGCTTCTTCAGCTTCAATAGGTGGAAGCATATTTTTATAATGCGTTGGATCACCTAAAACCAATCAACAAAGGAGAATAAAAAAGTTTAAATAATATAATAAAAAGCCATAGGGCAAAAGCGTGAAAACTTTTACCTTTAATTTATAAGAAATATTGTTTAAAAATAGTAAAAAGGTCTTTTGTCACGATGATAATAATACGTAAAGACAGAAGAGGTACTAAACAGATTTTTTTAACACTACAAACTTCAATGATATAAACGTACATGAAACGAAGAATCCACTTCTTATTATCGAAATCATAGCAGCTGAGTTTTCAGGTCGGATGAACTTCTGTCTTTGTCGCTTCATATATTTTTATAGCCACTAATTCATCCGCTCCTAAATGTCAGCTTTCATCAGGATAGAGGATATCCTGATCCCATAGCACGTTCTCAATAAACCGTAGGTCTGACGAAGGTCATTATCCGCATTCAGCAACAGATCTACTAATCTCAGTTTCTGCAGAGGAATGTGCATTCGTCAGGGTATCAGGAGATAACAGAAAGTACAAAACTCGTAGTGACCCATCAAAAGAATCCCTTAAACTAAAAAGTCTAAACAAATGAAGAAAGTTCAATATCAGGGAATAAGTTGACCTATGAGCAAAAATCTTGAAAATGTGCGATTTTAATAATGAAAGGTGCAATAGTCATCGCTGAAAACTCAGTGTTAACACATACAGAAAAACTAAATTAAACGTACAAGTCACATACCGATGGAGAGAGATATCATCTTTTTTGCTGGATTCGGCGTCATTTTTAATCTGTCGACAATTCGTCTGATCGGATTTTCTGTATTTTCTGCACTGTATGACGCAATAATATTCCATTTTTTCCCGCTGTGGGTACCGTTCAAAGGTTTATCCATCATAAAAATAATTATCAATGATTTTTTAAATTTGAGTTTTTAACATTATATTAAAGTTCAAATATGTTATAAAACCTTTATGATATGGTATATGCGTCTAAATTGTCACACGTCAGTTTTTCGTTGTTTTTTGTAGTAAGACAATTCTTTTTTCTTTACATTATGTTTTATTTTATGAATGGTCATATCAAAATGTAAATAAATGTGCACATTTAACTTGTATACTCCACTTCAAACGTAAGAAGTGCTTAATATAAAGCGTTATCTTTTTCTACAAACGACAGTTCAGTGCCTTGGTTGTAGACTAATCACTGAGACTATTTGTTTGTGTACAAATAATGATATAGATTTGTTTCTCATGATTTCAATTAGAAGATATGTCTTCAAAGCTCTTCGTCGAGTTATACGTATTGTAAATGAAATTGAAAAGACGGAAGATATTGTATCACATGACGGAGAATGCAAAACATTTCAAAAGAGGTATCATTCAAGATCACACAGTAAATTAAAGATACTTCTAGTTCTGCGCAATTTTTTCCCACCCTAGTGAATGCACTTAAGCCAAGTACTTGCGCAATTACTTGAGTTAAGTAATGAAGGTAGTACTTGTGAACTTTTCCAAGTAAATTTACTTGTCAAGTAAAATGAAAGTACTTGGGTGGCGCAATGCTAGTAAATTTACTTGGAAAAGTTCACTCAAGGACTTGTTCCATTTATTTTTATTTTGTATTTTGTATATATTCTGCAGCCGTATTCTACTTTCGTAGAGCAAATACATACACGGCTACTAAGTTTGTTTAACTAAGTAGAAATATATATAAGGAAGTAATCAAGTACTTGTACCAAGGACGTTCACTAGAGCAAACAGTAGTAATAGCAGCTCTTTTTCTGGTGCGACAACGGAGGATATAACAAAAATACTGATTAGCTGCATTCAGAATCAGTTGTTTTTATCATAATTTCTTTTTGTGCGCTACACATGGCTCTCTGTAATATATATTCACTGTAAATTGTGACACAGACAGACTAGACGTTTTTTCTTCGGACCGTCAGATGCTAGCACAACGAAAAAGCGCTAAAATGCTGACGATAGACACATATCAAAGTATAGCAAAAACACCTGATTTTCTTGATAAGATTCGCTGTTTTAAATTTTTAAAATACTGTTTTCCATCGCTCGATCCTAATGTTTTTTCCATGTTTGCAAGTGCCTTGTGTCGCTAGTAGCCCGATTTATATGTTCCTGCTACCTTGCAAATTCTCTAATCCATTATATTAGAGTATTTTGACAATTACTGGACGTACTTTCATTAGTTTCACTTTGAAACTGAAATTCCTATACTCTTGCTGCATCAGAAAGAAAAAAAAGTGTCTGTTAGTATTAACTGGTCATAAAAAATAGTTGTTTGTAATCATAAGACCAGTTCACCGAATAATATACCATTGATTGGTGCATTAGATCAAACACTTTCGCACTGTTATTTTATGTTGTAAATTCTAGCTACTAAATTGTCTATCCGAATTTACAGTGTTACGTACTTAGTGTCGCTACACTCTCTCCTTTATCTTTTTCTTCAACTGAACATCCACCTACTAGTGGCATAGCCAGAATTTTGTTAGTGAGTGGGCGTTGTCCCAATTTTTTAAAAGTGGTAGACATTAACGCAGAGTAGTGTGAATTATAAAACTTTTAGTGGGACGGAAAAATCAATTAGTGGGTAGACTGAGCCCACTCGGTGGCTACGCCACTACTTTGTCTTTTCGGCTTCCAGTGGTTTGTTAAGGTTTTGAATAATAGGGCTGAATCATTGAGTTTTTAAACTACAATAGAATAAAGAGAGCGTGTGAAAAATGTATTTATGATTTATCTGATATTATTTCTAGATGACAAAAATGCATTTAGTTAATAGTGAAAGTATTCAAGATTTGCTTCGTTTTAAATACGTAATATTTGCTGGTGATAGCTGTATGCGAACAATCTACAAAGATATGGTATTATTATTACAAGGTACTGATCGATTATTAACAGAACAAGAATTAAAAGCAAAAAGCAAGCGATCAATATGTAATGATCACTTATTAGAAGGTGGCATTTATTCATCGTCAACGCTGGGAAATAATTCAACATATTATGAAAAACGTGCCTATTTTACAACGAATCATTTAATGAAATTTGTATTTTTGACGCGTTGTTTAAACGCACAAATGTTCTCAATATTGAAAGAAATTGATAAACACAATCATGATCCAAAATTGCAAAAGCCAGACGTTATTTTGTTGAATTCAGGTAAGAGAAAGAGAGCTTGATAAGATGAGGGAAAGAAGAGAGACGTCTTCTTTCTTGACGGCGTTTTCTCATATAAATTATTTTTTCTAGCTATTTGGGATATTACACAGTATAGAGATTATGGTGAGTCTACGAAATACTCTGGAATTTCCTTTTTTTTTCTTTGCCTTTTCCTTTCTTTTTTCTTTAGGTGGTGAAAATGTCGAATTAGAATATAAAACAATGTTAAACGAATGTTTTAAATTATTAAGTGAATTTATACCAGAAAATTGTATTGTGATATGGTTAACAACATTACCATTTTCAGAAGATGCAAAAGCTGGTGTATTTAATAATTCTTATCATAGAAAGAAATTTTTACGTATTCGTATTCTTGAAATCAATACATATTCATCTTATTTGGCATCGAAATATGGTTTTGAAGTTATTGATCTTCATCGATTATTTCGTGGACGAACAGAACATCGTGTCGATGATGGAATGCGTAAGTTGTTCACACTGCTTTGTTTTGGGTCTTCGTGTATACTATATTGAGATAACATTTTGATTATTTTAGACTATGATGAAATTGTACATCGAGAAATAACAACAATTATTGCAAAACATATTGCATGTATATGGAATGTAAAACTAAGCGTACCCATATCAAGTCTACCATTGACTATTGATGACGATGAAAAAACACCGAGGGATAATGATCAATGTTGTAAACAAATATTAGCATCTATAGTAGATAAAATTGATAATGTTCAACTAACAATTGAAGAGAAAACTGTTCTTGAACAATATTTTAAATTAAAAAATGATACGATAGTATTTGATGTTGAAAATTTAAGTGACAAGGAAAAACAAGCCATGTATCTATTGAACTATTATGAAAAACTATTGTAAATCACAAAACGTTTCATATTTAGTTGAACAGCTATGATTAGTTAGTAGGTTAAACTCTTTTGCCTATGTGTCTTGTTTGTAAACGTATCCATTTTTTTTTTCAGTTAAATAATGACACAGTTCTAATTCAGATGTTTTTGTTTTTGTGTTCTGTTCTATTGCCAATATGTCAGTTATAGTTTTTCCATTTTTTTTTTGTTAAACAAGCTGGAAGTCAGATAATCAACTATTCTTGCCATAAAACGACAATTTTTTAGTAATGGCGATTCAGTGATCTGATTTTGTTTATTACGAGTAGGGGTAGATTTTGAGAACAGCTTACGTAACAGTTGTTATTTTATATATGATCAGAATCTGCTTGTATTCCATTCCTTTCCAGAATATATATTCATTTGTATTACTAATATTATATTATTCAAGTTAACTATTTTATGTTAAATTGGATTTATTTTGTTTTCTGTTATACAATAAAAACAACTGACTTCACACTAATAAAAGGTGTTCTAAACAACAAAAATAGAATAAAATATTTGAAAATTGGTATCACAGTTATCTATAACAGATTCTGATCTAAACTATCATAAATTCAGTATCGAAAAAAATTGACTAATCTATAAGTGGTTTTTATACATGAAATTGTCATAGAGTTTTGATTACAGAAAATACGAATAGCACAAATAAATGTATCAAATAATTCTTCTTGCGCTGGTTATTAATTTATTTTTCTTAAATCTTAAAATTAGCCGCAAGAATGATTTTCAAAAAATTCGACGAATTGGTGTCAGAGTTAATTCAAAAACTAAAGCTTCCCGATTTGTCGTTGAGAAGAAAATATTTTCGTTTGGTTCATTTCTATAAAGTAACGAACGAGTTATCGCTGCTTTCAGTTTTTAAATCCGTCCTTTATAACACCATTGACGAATCGTAGAACAGTGCGTCTGAATACAAGTACAGTTTTAAAACACGAAGCCAGTTGCGTCACCGGGTCTTACAAAAAAACAGGTAGCGTCAGCTTTTTTCTATCAGACTGCCGACGATTGGCATGCCTTACCAGAAATGGTTGTTGCGGTACGTACTCTAGGTCAGTTCAAAGCGAAGCTGAAACATTAAATTTAAGCAAGCAAATTTAAGGCGTTTTCTGTGTGTTTGTTTCTATTTCTGTACTCTATTCCATAAGAGTGTATATATAGGCATAAGTGTGTATTCTCTCTCTCTCTCTCTCCCTCTTTTGTAGTGTTACTCCAGGTGGCAATGTAGATAAATACAAGGCTTTTACTTTTTCTGCGTTCCTACAGAAGCTCTTTTTTTCGTAAAGTTGGCTTTGTTTGTAAATAAAATCAAGTTTAAGTTCAATTTATGAATGTGAAAATGTACAGTGACATGTATCTCTTGTTGAATAAGTATTTTGTTATTAGTGTGATGTTAAAAATTGGAAACTATTAACTCGGACCTTGTTTCTAACTAACAGTGTTCGATCTTATACAGTCAATTTGTATAAAATAAGACGTTTTTGTCACAATTACACCCGTTTACTTCATTTGCCCTGGAACTTAGCTGAAAATTTTTTCAGAAGTATCTTGATTCAAAACTTTTTGCGTATATGATAATCGACAATCCGAATCTGTGGCCGGTTTGGATCGAACAAGCTGAATAATATTTTTCGATTAAGTTAACATGCCTTTCTTACGGTTTCTTTGAAGTTCTACGCTTTTAATATGCTCATCTCGTCATGTTCTAAAAGTTTCAAGTGATTTTGTTGGATTCTGAGTGAGATATGAACTTTTTTTCATTTATAATGAATACTAGGGTATTCTCTCTAGGATTCTTGTTCATCAGGATTTCTCATATTTTTCTGAAAGAAACATTATCTGGAGATTTTTCATTAATTACTGAAATTCTACACGTAAACAAGTAGTGAGGTGCGCTTCTTAAAAACGTACAAAAAGTATAGTTTACAAGGATATATACTTTTGAAGAGGACATTTTGAGAGAACAAAGGATGATATAATACAGTTTCACAGTATAAAACTGGTATGTTTTAGTTTTCTTGTAGCTGAAGATGATCTTTTTTTTTAAAATAATAAAAAAAAGAAATTACTTATCATCGATTTTATAACAAGATCGATGACAAGTAACAAAGTTCTTGTACAAGTACCTTTCGCTTTTTTTTAATATAATTACAAGTAGTATTAGAATAGCTTTCAATTCATTTAGATATAAATGAATTGAAAACACAGTAATGAATGCTGTAATTTATTTATTTACTAAGAGTTCAATCTTAGAAGGTAAGCTTATACTGGACACATAGATATGATAAATAGTTCTTTAAGAAAAGATCTGTAGTTTTAATTAGATATCTGCCTTTAAATACAATCAAATCTGCGCAGCGGATTACACCAAAATAGAGATTAAGCTCTATCTATTTTGCTATAATCAAATCATCATAAGAATGTGTTTGTTTTCAAAATATGCTTGTATGTGTGTGTGTGTGTGTGTGTGCGTGTCTATTGTCAGTGGAAATAGAATTTATATATTTTTTTTCCATCTAAGAATTCTCAAGTCAATCATAGTAAGCATATATAAATTTTTATGAGACGGAAATATGTGTAACGAAAAATTTATTATTTCGATTGTTATCATCAACTAAAGTGCTTATGGAAAATAATATGAAAGAATCTCTCAGTGAGAAAAACGAGAGACTTTTGAACTTGACAATTTCTAAATTAAATGATCAAGCAAAAAGAGAGAAAGATAAAAAGGCTATTCTAAACTGACTTTGGAGAAAAAAATTTATCTCTCTTCTCTCCTAGTTCGAATACATTTTGTAGAGGAAAAATGGTTTCTTTACTGATAAGAAGAGAAAATTCTTTTTGTACCCTTATCTTGGATTGATGCTGCTTCTAACTTAAATTTTAGTCTAACTAAAATGGCATCTTAGTTACAAAAACTGAAGATAGTTATTTTTCTATTTCAAAAGATCATATCTCAGATCAATGAGTTTACATTATTAAATTAATAGTTTGTAAGATATATAATTAGTATAATTTTGTAATGAAATATTTTTTAAGAGAGATTTTTCTAATTTGTCAACAACAAAACTGATTTGTTTTGCAGAGAAAATCAGAAATATTTTTCTTATAGGAGAACAAGAGAGATGTATATTTGAGAATATTGAATATATAAATTGATTCTGTGGGGAAATTTTCATTACTAATAATCATTATTGCTATCATCACGTTTACAACTATTCAACGAAAAATACGCCACAATTTATTGTTAGAAAATGTGGAGGTTTACTTATTGTTTCTTTGTTTGTAATAATTAGTGATAATAACTGTCAACTTTATACGCCTGCGAACGCACAGTACCTATTAGATAAATTCGTATCTAATCTTCACTCGGAAAAAGAACAGGAACACGCTATATTATTCATAAATCGATGACATTTTGCGTTACTTGAAAGCTTTCCTCTTTGTTAATTGTATTGTAGATATTTTAATATAAGTACGAAAATCCTATATTTCATTTCACTATCACGTTATTACCAAGTCGTATAAATTAGGTAAGTGAGCTTGTAAAGCAGACCTTGTCCATCCATCCATTCCGATCTGATATTGAGCAGACAGTATCGTGCTGGTCGCTGCTCGTGGTTAGGCGGATCAGTTTCAAAAATTCAGCGTCCGGTCTCATTCCGATTTTTTTCTCAGAAACAAATTGGTACAAAACTTGTCAGATAAAATTTTATTTTGTGTTTATTCTTTGCAAAGCTCAATGTTGTTAAGCCCCTCCCCTCTCCTAAGTCGAAAATGATGATTTTCGTCAAAAATATCGGCTTTGAGAAAAGTACATGAATATATAGCCCCAAGTGTCATCTTTCAAAAGAGCTTATTTTTACTAGCTAAAAAGATAGATTTTAGTGGGTTTTCACGAAGTTTTCTGAAAGCTCTGTAAAACTGTATATATGGCATGCTTTATAGGTTAAAAAAATGGTATTGCGAAGAAAACATTCACATACACATACACATATGCGATACATGTACGAGCATATATGCATCAGAATCTGCATAGTTGACAACATATAGAGCACTTTACCAAACTCTTAAAGGTCAAAACAGATCAGAGGAGAAGTAATTTTCAGAAGAAAAAAAGTATTTTGCGTTTTTCTCGAAACTTTGTTTTTTGTTTGGTGGAACTCACTGTCAATCTACGATGGATCACAGATAGGCCTGTCAGAAACTGATTCTTAAGCCAGAGAAAATGTATACGCTTTCTAACCTCTTTCTATAAATATGATAAAACTGAAAAACAAGCGTCGAGCTAAATTGAATCGGGCCAAGTAAAATTACGATCCAATTCAGTCGAGGGAAAAAGTCAATTCAGACGGATTAGTCGGGCTAATTTTAGGTAAATCCCGAGCAGGCCAGGCCGAGACACTGGAAGGATAGCTCGCGTCTACTCCGGTTATAATCTAAAATCATTGTTTGAGATGTATAAGTATCCGTTATTTTTGACTTATTAGTTCAATACTATTTTGAATATCAATCGAGTATATATGGTAATAAAAGTTCATAATGATGTGTCTGCATTGATAATAGTAAATTTGGTATTGACTTTGTTAATAAATTGACTTTTTTACAATATAAACGACGTTGAATAATTATATTATTAGTTAATCGGGCGGGAAAAAACATGCTTCTTGCTTGATTTGGTTTGTTGGACTTTAGTTTACTATCTCACTGTGAGATATGATGTTTGAAAAACCCAAATAAATATTATAAATAGACGGCATGTTTTTTCTGGACAATTCAGGTGCTTTTTCTCTCTTTTCACTCTCAATTCAAATGAGACTATATAGAATTTTTTTCTTTCGAAATGAATTTATTTATGTTAAATATGTTTGTCGGATACTACTTATCTGATAATCAATTACCATTGTTGTTGTTTTTCACTACTAACATAGTTGATGAAAAATTGTAGACATAGACCATCTTGTTTATGACGTTATCGTATTTGATATAACAGCCGTATTGTCATTACGAAAATGAGTGTGGACAGTTTATAGTTCCATTCTTTTTCACAATATGTGCCATCGAATGGTCTTAATAAACAATATCGAAGTAATTTATACAGTAATTAGAAATATTGTAATCAAACATTGAATTCTTAATCTTTATTTATTTCAAGGCTATATTTTTGTCTTATATCTCGGTATGAATATCAGGCTATGTCATAATGTATGTGATATATGTCATTCTATACTCGTACATATAAACTGCGCAACTTGCTTAATCCAGTATATTTTCTCTTCCTTTACTGTGGTACTGTATGTCTGACTGCGGTTTTTCTTTTCTGTTGATAATGAATCTTCTTTCACAGCCATTCTTATGTATTATTAGAGAAAATTAATCGAGCGTATGTAATAGTTTCTTTGTTATTAGGTGATCATATATAGTCTAGTATTAAAATATTAATGATTCAAGTCATTGTTATTCGTATTATATTAGTTTCATGGGAAATATAGCGATTTTTACTTTGTTATTCAAAAACGAAATAAGAAATGGCGTAGAATGAAAAATGTTTCAGATCGTTGAACAGATACACTTGAATTGGTTAAAATTTTATAATTAATTGGAATTTATTTTGCTTGTTTTTCCCGAATAACAAGTGAAAAGTAAGACTATAGTTAATATTCCTATTATTCTGAAAGAAGAATTGATAAAGACAATTTGATTTAGGTTATGTTTATTATTTCATATCTAATTTTAATTAATAATTAATTTAATCTACGCTAATGTTATGAGAATAACAATCGTTTTCTGTCATCAAATAAAATAATTTTATTTTGACATATGAAACTGGATATTTTTTGTAGCTAACTTTGTTATATATCCAATAACAAATAATTTTGATTGACAATGATATGTGTTTAGCGGCGCACGGAATATCCTTTATAAGAGAGTAAACAAGAAAAAAAAATGTTATACGTGACTCTGTCTTCTAATTGAGATATCAAGCCAAAAAGAAAAAGAAAATGTGCTGGCGGAGGTAAGAAATAGAGAAGATGAATATGTTATAAATTTTCATATCATATACTTACAGTATTAGTTTTTACTTTTCGTTTAAAAACTGGAAATATTTTTTAACACGTTAGTACATCAAAAATTGATTTTCTTTCTTTATTGAAACACGTAGGTTCTCTTTAGCTAGAAAAACTTGTTGAAAAATGTATTTTGTTATAAAATTCATTGTTCTTTCTGTTATCGATAAAATATATTAATGTTAGAAAAATGAGCACAATAGAAAATATCCGTAATATTATATTTTTGAACACACTTTCTTTTGCTTTGACAGTCCGTTGTCATTTGCCCTATTGGACAATATTGCTCGAACGAGCAACTTGCCTGATCAGACAAGATACCATCTCGGAATTTCTTATGAGATTCTATGATTTCCGAGTCGAAATCATAGGTCCTCTAACAGGCATATTGTGTATCAAAACAATATGTTCAATCTTCTTCCTTTCTTATGGGAGAAACGAAAAACAAATTTAGCTCAATATCGTCCATTTTATCTTTTCCGATTTGGCACTATTGCCAGTTCGAGCAAGGTCGATCTTGACTCTTTCAGCAATATTTCTTGCTAGAACAAGCAACATATGAATAATACATTTATTCGTATGTTACGCACATTTATATGCGTACAAAGCCTTACCAGAATAGTTCTTTTTATAAACTGATATAAGCTATTAGTACGTTTCTGTTGCATTTTGTGACCTTTGATACTTTTAAATCGTAATTTTATTCCCACAAATTATGTTCGTCTAGACGTTTCGATGCTTTGCATCGTCATCAGCAGACATGATAAATTAAAAAGAGAATAAAAACTTTTTAAAACGTCAAACACGAATGGCTTCTATCAGGGGTTTTAGCCAGTTTTACGTATTATAAGCATTATGGTTTATGTTCTACTTTCTAGGTATGATTCTTTTTCGTGTTTGATGTTTTAAAAAGTTTTTATTCTCTTTTTAATTTATCATGTCTACTGATGAAGAAGCAAAGCATCAAAACGTTTAGACAAACATAATGTGGGAATAAAATTACGATTTAAAAGTATCAGAGGTCACAAAAAGTTCTTTTTATGTAAAGGAAATAGGAGGATTAAACCAGGGCTGGTTTTAGCAGAGAGGGTCGTATGGGTAACCTCCCCCCCCTCAATAACTGAAAATAATTTTTTTCATCAGCCAAATGAAAAAAAAATTTGCAAAACAAACTCGCGCAGCGAAAAGTTTTGGGTTAACCCCCCAAAAAAATTTTTTTGGTGGAAAAGTGGTTTAATTGTTAGAGAAAATCATGAAAAGTATTTTGGCCCCTTCCTCCAATTCTGGGTGTCTCGAGCCAGCCCTGGGTTAAACGTAGCAAGAATTGTGATTTATGATAAACTCTATCAAATAATTGTGGATCTAATAAATTTCATGAATGCTCTTTTGTGCAAATGCAATTTGTTTTCACTTGTAGTCATTCTTTCACTTTGAACTTTTATTTTAGATAAGTTCTTTCTTTTCTTCGTTTTCGTTACGTGTATAATAATGAAAAAAACAGAATATTTACGCACATGATGTATACTTTAATAATTTATAGGGCACGGTTCCGTGACATTTATCATGTTCTACATTACTGCAAATCGCATTTGCAGATAATTTTCATTTTGTTTATTACCATCCATAAATTTGAAGTTGTCAGACAGTAGTATAGTTTTGTAGTCTAAAATGAATAGGACAGACTACCATTTATACTTTAAAAACTAGAATTTGCAAAAAATAGAAATAGCGCTCGTAGCTTTTCATATGAAGACTTAAACGGGAAAACATTTCTTTTGATTTCTGCCATAAGTTCATCGAGGCTAAATTTGTTTATTTAAATAGTACATGTTAACGTCGAGAATAGCGCTTCTTGCCTGATGGGACAAGACATATAGCCCGTTCCGGTAATAAAGTCCCAGAAGATGCTTCTTCCCTACTCTGAAAAAATAGGCACATCTACAATGTGGGTAAGCGTAATTTTAAGCAGTTTTTGATGCTCTTCTAAGGAATAAGTCTCTTTATGCGTCGTCATTACTTACATTTTTGCGCTGATACGTTACGAGAAAAATATGTAAATCTGGCCGAAAGCGGCAAGGTACTCTTTGCCTGACCAGACCGTATTGCTTGTTCCAGCAATATATTTTGCCAAAACCGGCAATGCGACCCGATCGGGCCAGAAGGCATAACAACGGACTGTTTGATAGTAATCGAGCAAACCAAAAAATAAAATATGCATGTTATTTTATTTATTACTTGGCTACTATTGATGACATTTTTTATAGCTTTTAGTTATTACTTCTATCATTTTTACAGAGAGGATTCACCCATTTAATGTCAACAATGAAAAAAAGTTCTATTCTGTTTGATCTGAGAGTGTACTAGTTTTAAACAAAGTGAAGTGACAGAAGGAAGATCTCTATCGAACTGCTTGTGTTAATCGTGTTCTGGAGTGGTAATAAATGATATGTTAGAAGAGAGGGAACGAATTGCAATAAAATTTCTTGAGTTCTATTAGAAGATCATCGTGATTTATTTATGCTGTACACTAATGTTTGTTTATTCTAGATGACATACAGTTGCTCCTATTTCTAACATTTATTGATAATAATGATTAGAAAACGAGAAAACAACAAACAGCCAAAAACATATTTAATAAACAACACAGAAATTAATCGTAATGTTATCAATTAGTTAACATCAATCATAAACTGATTACTCTTGATATTTTCTTTAAATATTTGTTGGAAACATTGTTACCACCGATGTCGACAAGTCAAACATTATTTTCTAGTGTGACTCACATTATTAATTACAACAATACAGTAACATTTCCGTCAACACATTTATCGGATATTTCAAAAGAGATATATGATCCTAGAATAACAAAACCTTTTGCTATCATATGTTTGTTTATTGGAAGTATAGGTGCGTGTTTGACAAATGATGATTTGTCTTAATTCATCGGCAACAAATCTAAAATTGGATAGATAGATTTGAACGAGAAAGAAGATGATAAAGAAATCTACTACCTTTGAGAAATAACAGATCAAGCACGTTTTGAAATGTTGACAATAATAACAAAATAAATGTTATGCTTCATTTCGGATCTTTGAATATTTTTGGTTCTTTAGACCATGGTACGATCACTAGCATCGATCCCCGAACAAAAGGCTACTTTCTCGAGACAACTTTTAATGACTTACATAATCGACGAAGAGAAAAATTCTAAGTTTCTTAAAACAGAACGAAATAACTTCTCATGTACTTTTAATATTCTTCATTTAGGTAATTCACTGTCATTTGTTGTTTTTACCCAAAAACAACTACGAACCTATTCCACATTTCGTTATTTGGCTTATTTAGCTATCATTGATTTATGTGTACTCTATTGTGGACTCGGTCATATTATTCTACGAGATTATTTTAAATTCGATATTCGAACTTCTCATTTAGTAATGTGTAAATTACACACATTTTTGACATACATTACTACACAATTGTCTAGTTGGATTCTAGCCTTAGTTTCAATTGATCGAGCCGTTGCTTGTTCACTTATGCAAAAACGTTTTTGTAAAGCACAATCAGCTGATCGTATATTTGTTGGAATGTGTTTAGCTGTAGCAATAATTAACAGTCACATATTATTTTTTATGGGTGAAAAACGGACAATTTATACTCTACAATCAACAACCACATCGTCATCAATTCTTTCCGCCGTTCGAACAACGGGTATGTACAGTGTATAACAGGAAAAATTTAAATAGTTTTCAAATTTGTTTTAGGACGATACAATTCAACTAGTGGTCAGATAAGAAGTAAATCATTGCCATCATTTACACATTATTATCGTCAATCCAAACAGTCTATCACTACAATTTCTACTGTTATCAGAAAATCTTCATCGACTGTAACAAAAACATTTTCAAATTCAATAATCTCAGGTCAAAATTTAAATTTAATCATCAAAGCCAATCCGATTATTAATAACTCATCCCCGTCTCAAATTGAATTGGGCCGTATTATCCACTGTACACATAACACCAGTGATTTTTATTTTAAATTTTTTGAAAAACCTTACAATGTTATTGATCTGTTCAGTTATGTTCTTATACCATTTATTATAATGACAATTTGTAGTATTATTGTTGCTTATCGTTTATTTTATTCTCTAAGAAATACCACATTAAAAGGTAAAACACGAAAAACGACGAGACGTGCACGACAAATATCTTATATGTTATTAACGTTAAATCTTGTTTTTGTCTTATTACTAGCTCCTGTTGTTTTAGCACAAGTCTTTCAAGATCTTCATCAAGAATATCGCTATCGTCTATTTAATTCAATCACATTAGTTTTATCGTATTCAAATCATGCTCTTAATTTCATTTTGTACGGTATAACATCGCCACAATTTCGTTTGACTTTTAGACACTTGTTAGGAATTCATTCGGTACAATATCATCATAATGGTCCTCCAGGCTTTTACACATCAACGGTTTTCTAAGCGGTCCGATTTATTGATGTTTTTAGTTCAAATTTATTATATCTAATTGTATTTTTGCTTTTCTTGATAAAAAAACAGCAGCAAAAAAATAACATGTTATTACTGAATGGAAAATTCTTTTAATCGTTATGATTTATAGGGCTTTACTCAACATAGTACTCTGAATGCACCGGCATATATAACTCGCAATTATCAAGTACCTGACAAGTGCTGTCGAGTGTTAAATTCTCTAAGTACTTTAAGTGCTTGGGAAAATCCATAGCAGATAAGATTATTTTTTCCAACATAAGTATTGAAATGAATTATATTGATTTACGAAAAACTCCAACTTTGTAGTTCAAAACGGTTGTACACTCAAATACATCTTGTTGCAAACTGTAGATTACAGAAAATTGGACTCTATTAAGAATCGGCTCTGTCTTCAATACTAAAAACACCAATGTTATTAGTCATGTACTCGTAGCGTATATAGAGTAAGGACAATTCGAACAATATTCCGAATTATGGCCGTTAAAAAAACGGCATTCTCGACACACCGAACGGAACTTTAGTCACATTCACAAGAAACACGCCAACATTCACGGAAAATTATGTCATCATGCTTTTTTCTGAAAACCGCATGATATGATAACGCACACATGACGAAAGTGCGCCCCCTTCTATGACGAAGGTACGTTGTGACGAAAGTGCCTTTTACCGGTATTCTTCAGAGATAGGTAGAAAATCAAGTTAGACCAACTACAAATGGAACTATATTTATCTAAAGTCACGCATACACATATGCGTCTGAATAAAAAAGGTTCAAAACAAAAAAACGTGGAAATATGAAAATTTTGTACCTCTAGTTAAAATACATTAGCGTGTTGATGTGGTTCCACATTTCTTTTTTAGTAGTATGAAGCAAAACTTGCGTCGTCCTCTGACTAGCATTTGCAGCGGGAATATTATAAACTTGACTCAACACACTAGAAAAAATAACAGTACTCATCTATAGATTAGTTTCAGTCGAATCTGAATATTCAAAAGTCTTACTGGATTCAAAGGTGCGAAAATTTTCTAGATAACTTTCGACCTCCTAAGGCTAGTGCTCATAGATGTTCGATGACTAATTTAGTACAACTTCTTTCGTTATGAATCGACTCTAGCAATTTTTACAGCGATGTTTTCTGTTTAAGTCTGACTTTGTTGTAATTATCTTCTTCACTTGAAATGGCATTGACGTTTAGCCGTATTCTTCTTTCATGTAGCTGATTTGTTCATGAAATATCTGACAGCCGTCTTTCCATGTTATTCAGGCACGTACACACAATGTTTTTCTATCATGCACGTGTGAAAAAAGTTACACACTAATATAATCCTGACGAAATGATCCTATTTATTATACAAAATTGGAATAATAGTCTTAAAAGAGGTAACAGCAAAAGAGGATTGGGGGCTTAAGTTAGTCGTATAACGCAGATTTAAGTGTGAAAAAATATGTAGCGTAGACAAGTCTTATGACTATATGTACCTGTGAAGATTCCACTACCAGAAAAAGTCTTATCTTATAAAAATCTGTGGCAGAATTACAGCAGAAATTTATTTTTTCTGCGATGTCGCAATTTTACCGTTAGGTTTAACAATGTCTTTGCCGTGACGTCAGGGTGAAAAAAATGCAATTTTAACCTTATCATCGTCAACTTTTATTGTCAGATTTTTCTCTCGCGTTATGATGTCATAATTTTGGCCGTTCTAAACGTCAGACTACGTATAACAGTACAACTGGAAATTTTCTCTCATTTTGACGCCAGGTTTTTTACGATAATTATGCAAAGTATTTTCATTATTGAATAATAATGACAATTCAGAAATACCACTTTCAAGTTTGAAGGTATTTTGTGCACTGACGTAATTACAGTTTGTCATTTTGGATTTTGCTTTGTTTCTGATGTTCATTTTCTGTGTCAGATAGTCACGAACACTTGACTGAGGATCATTCGTTTCTTTTTTTATTTCTACATAAGTTTGTCTTATACTGTATATGTTCGAAGTAGTTTGCAGTAGTAACATGGTCTAAGAACCTGTTGCTGGAACACTACAACTTCAAAGACCGTTCCAAGTATCGATGTCCCGAAACGGTTGTCGTAACACTTGGTGGATGAGCTGCTAACATCTTAGTTTAATGTTAAGTGCATGTAAGTAATTATTAACATATTAGTTTTCTAGTTAATATCTACTATTGGATCACCATCATCATCCTCATCATCAGTTTTGTCATAAATATCTACAAAAGAGTACTACTCGATGGTGAAAAGCTTTTTGAAAAATACTAGTTCTAAAATCAGAAATGGGCAAATCTGGCGCTTTCTAATTCTAATGCAGGACTCATGTCCATCAAAAAAAAGCTTTAAGCCCGAACCTGGACCTGTCCATCTCTGTCTAAAATAGTTTTCGGTAGAATTATTGCTGTGTATAAGTCAAGATTTTTTAGGTATTGAGAAGCTCAGTCTAAAATAAATGTATCATGCGAAAAAATTGGTTTCTTAGAGCTTGAAGACTAAAATCTGACTCTTGGAGCTTGATTTTTAAATAAACACACTCATAGTATTTTGACATAAGTCAAACTGATTGATTCAACTCATGCTGTGAGCATTGACCTTAGGTGGTCGAGAGTTTTCTAGAAAATTTTCACACCTTTGAATCCAGTAAGGCTTTTGGATATTCAGATTCGACTGAAACTAATCTATAGATGAGTACTTTTATTTTTCCTAGTGTGTTGAGTCAAGTTTATAATGTCCCCGCTGCGAATGCCGGTCAGAGGACGACGCAAGTTTTTCTTCATTCTATTAAAAAAGAAATGTTGGACAACAGATTGATGTGGTCGTTGACCGGTTTGGGAACTCATATTGTTCTATCTTTTTTCTGATTATGGCCATCTAATATGCACATGATATATTATTCGTGAACGTATCTAAGTCAGATGTGTATTCATGCTAAAAAGTGCGAGGAGTACACCTAAGTACTCACACAATTTTTTACTCACTGAGCACTCACATAAGTACCATGAGTACTCATGAGTGCGTAATCAGTATTGTGGGTACGCCTTTGTGCTCATGCTTGAGTATTGTTGAATACTCATATAACGTTTGGCAGAATATTCCTGTCTATTGCTCATCCGGTATTTTCATATAGTGGAGTGATCTCAGGCAGCCAGAGTTAGACTATAAGTCCAGTTATAAACGAGTCCATCTTTGACTATGTACAGAGAGACCAGCGAGAAAAATATAATATAAATATTGCATGTTTCTTTACTAAATTCTACGTTGTTTATACAGTTTGATTTTAGCAAAATAAAATCGGAAATGAATATTTTCTGAGTAACAATACTCAAAAATTGTTAGTAGATCTCATATGAGCACTCATGGACGAATTATGAGTAGATTGGTACTCATAGTATGAGTACTTTCACTAGGGCAGAGTTTAAGTCAGAGAACCGAGCGAATCGCAACGCAGATGAGCATTACTTAGTTAGCCAGCTCTGTTTTAACTTTCTAATGAATATCCTTATCTCGGACTAAAATTTTGCTGTATAAGCACCAGAATTACCAAACGAATTACCAAACGATGCGACTAAGATGAAAAAACGTGTTGATTATTAGTTTGCGGATCGGTTAAAAAAAATCTCTTATTTTGTGCACTTTTTTGCGTCCGAAAAACACAATTGATTGGATAAAGGTTCTACAGAAATACTGCTGTGAATCAAGGTTCTCAAATCTGTTCTCTTTTGTGGATTCTTCCTGCCGTTACTGAGATATCGTATGGTCTATATCCTAGGGTGTCAGCAAAGAGCTATTGACAGTTCCGAGGCTGGCAGCAAGAAGCTTTTGGCTGTGCATGAGAGTGACCCACTAGAATACTACCATGTCACCTTAAGATGATGGACTTTTTTGAATAAGACATTTGTGCGGTGTATATTAAGTGCATTTTGGACTGTCATTAGCTCCTTGCGGCCAGTTCGATGGGGTGTCAATAGCGCCTTACTGCCAGTCTCGAGACTGTCAATAGACCTATCCTTTTTTTTACCGGTCAACACACAATTGCAGTCAAGGGAAATCACGTTTTGCTTCGCACATTATGAGATATCGTAAAGTGGCGCCCTCTGTTAACTACATCTTTTAATAATTAATTCTGATAATTTTACATAGCTGAGACTGATGTTCGACAGCTCATGCATTCTCTACATATTTGATCCGATATCAGTGCATTAGCGCTTAGTACCTATCCTCTCTCTTTGGATTGACTGTCCACCGAATAACTGATGGTCGGCATTCCAGGCTTTGCGAACATTAATCTTCTAAACCCATTCCATAATTTCAAATATATTTTATATAATTTCAGATTATCTCACGATGCAGTACTTATTCCTGTTAAGTTTAATTTTGTTCTTTTTTTATCAATTGGTACGTTCTTCGCTCTAGTAGAATATTTCTGTTATATCATTTTTTCATCTGTTTGTCATTACAGTCCTCGGCAGTCATACTGAGATCATCCATGAATAATAATAATCCTCAGATAGCCGTGTTAGGTTGTGACAGTAAAAAACCAAATTTATATTATGATCCAGAAAAACAGTTATGGATTGAACATTTGACAACAAAATGTGTAGGAAATGAAGATAATGTTCTCGAATTTTGCCAAAAGGTAATTTTTAAGTTTTTTTTATGTTGCTTCAAAACTGTTATATTTAGGTCTATCCAAATCATAATATTGTCAATATTGTTCGTTTGGATAATGTTCTTCGATTCGAAAACTGGTGCGAACTAGCACCGAGAACGAGTGAAAATTATATTCGTCGTTGTAAAAAAGGAACAGATACTGAAGAAGCTGTTCAGCCATTTCGTTGTTTGTCTGATCCGTTTCAATCCGATCAATTATTAATTCCGACTGATTGTCAGTTGCAAACATTATATGATTCATCAGCATGTCTTCATCAAGAAAAATGGCAAAGTCAAGCATCATTTAACTGTTCAGAGAAAAAACTGATGTTAAATTCATCGTCACTATTGAAATGGTGTGGATTAGCTAAATTTGTTGGAATTAAATTTGTATGCTGTCCATTTAAAAGTATTATTTGTATTATTTTGTCTCATCTTTCGTATATCATGTTCCTTCTACTCATTTAGATGATGAATTAGAGTCTCCTAACGCGAAAGATTTGTGGAATGACGATAATTTGCTTGCCGAAGATGATGAGATACGTGATTTTTCAAACCCGAGAACAACTGAACAAAGTCTGAAATCGAATTGGGATGACAGTATTAATTATAAAGACTATGATGAAACTATTACAAGTACGAAAAAGCCAGCAACATCAACGAAACCACAACGCCGTCTTTTGGCAACGAACCGTATGTCACTTGACGATATCAATGTTTTTAATCGTCAACTGAATGTTTCTTTTACTTATGTTTTGAAGGAGAACCAGTATGGGTATCCGATTTTCAACTATTCACAAATGAAGAAGGAAATTTTGCTGATGATGAAGATGATGATGAAGATCAAGAGAACGAAAGTATAATTAAATCAAGTTCGTCAAATCCACCTTCTGAATTGCCGAAAAATGAGCATCAGCGTTTTACAAATGAAAAAGAAGCATTTACGAAAAAATACAAAGAACAGGTTGATATGGTAAGATGCATCATTATTTGTTGATAACCACATTTTTTTACGCACATTTTTTATCTTTTTAGCTCGTAGCTCGATGGAAACTTCAACAGGCCATAATCCAAAAAGTAATGGCTACTAATCCCATCGAAGGGCAAAAACAATGGGATGCAACGGATAAAGAATTTAAAACTGAGTATGAAAAATTGAAACAAAATGCCAGTGAACAACGTTCACGCATCAATGAAGTACATGAAAAACAATTGGATACACTTCTTAGTTATGAAATAGACGAAACATATATAAAATTAACGGCTGCATGGAATGAGAAACCGGTTAAAGTAAGCTTTAAAATCGCTCCATTTAAAATGGAGATACAGTGACCTAGTGGACACTTTTAATTTGTGATCCATGTCATCACTTATTTTTCCTCTCGACTTCTACCAGTCGTTTAGCTCGGGTTCTTTAGTCAAGTGAGACAAAAAACTGTCTCTCTCTCTCTCTCTCTAAATTAAACAAGAGTCGATCAAATATAGGTAGTATATTTAAAAATAATGATAAAAAATACATATGGAGGAATAGCATGAAGTAAGGAGACCACTAACCGGTCCGTCAAAACTTACTAGCTTTGTATTTTATATGCACTCGAATAATACTATTCCCAGATGTATATGATGAATCGAATAAAATAACAAATCGTTGGAATTGCATTAATCCGGTTCGCTACTAGCCAATGTTGCTGGCGCATATGCATAATCAAATAAATCATTTACCGCATCATTCAAGAATAGAATAACATTTCTGGTTTTGGTATAGAACATGGATCGCTTCATTAAAGACATGATGGATGATTTTGATGAACGTCCTTTATGTTAAACATAATAATAATTTCACTTTTGATTTTTTGTTATCCACATCAATGCTCACTGCGCATGTTTCCAGTAGAAAGTCAAAACTGTCAATTATTTTCATCTACACAGACATGAAACTGTTTGACAGAAGTACGTCTTCTGATATCTTGTAGTCTATGAACAGTTTTAACTCAAGTAATCCGTAATTCAAGTGAATAGGAAGGAAAGAGATAGTGAACTAAATTTTTTGTATTCTCTGGAAACTCCCTAAATCACTTGTTAGTTCGCTTTTTTATGACTGATCTTGTGAAATTTTCCTTTCAATAAGACCATTGAAAATAGCGCGTATGTGTTTGTTTTTCTTCAGTCAATGAAGTTCGAAATCTCATCGAAGTAGAAACTGAACTACTTTTCTATTTCACGCATCTGATCCATTGCATATTTTATATCATGTTTTCTATTGTCATCTCCAAATTATAGACGGTATAAATGTTTGAATATAATGTTGAATACATACACCAAAAAAAAGACGATTTTCTAATACACACGTCTCATTTGTGATTTAGATCAATTAAATAAAAATTGCATAATATATTATCTCATTGGTAGTATTTCATAGTTGAAAAGAATGTTAACTATACATGAAATAAACATAATCATTCTTTCCTTTATCTGAATGAAAGAATAAGGATTTGTATCGTGTATTATGTTCTGGTTATCATTCAAAAATTAGATGATTTACCTATAGAGAAAATAGATATTCATTTTAATGAAACTCTATCATTTAAGTTGATTATATTACTCTTAAGAGTAGATTATGTATTAAACAAGAAAATATTGAGATCATTCAAGAAATTTTTCTGATTATTAACACTGTTTTAATTCGTGTGAATAATGTTATAGCTCAATTATTTTTATTTTTAGACGGAAAATGTTCAAAAAGCATTATTGAGTTATTTACATGCGTTAATGCGCGATCGACTACACTTGGTAAACCGTTATGAACGTTTGAAAGTTGTTGATCCACCGCAAGGAGCACGAAAACAACCACAAATTGAGCAACGTTTGAGACTTATTGCTACACGTATAAATGAAACATTAAACAATTTGAACCAATATCAAAAATTACGTGAAAAAATACAATATCGAATTGGTAAATCAACGATCTTTTTTACGAATCTTCGTTTACAATGAACTGTATTTTAGACACATTATTTTCTGAATATGCTGAAGTAAATGATGCTGCCCAAACGCTGTTAAAAGAATGGTCCACAATGACAAAACAAACACAGCGTGTACCCTTTGGACGAGATGAAGCACGAATATATCCTTCGGTAAGAAAACGAGTTAATTTAAACTGTAAAATAAGATGGTTTGTTTTCTTGAAGAAACTATTAACAACAACAGAAAAGTCAAGAACAATTACCACAAAAACACGTCAAACAACGACGGATGATAGCATTGAATCGGATGATTATGGAATAGGTGACATGAATGAATATGATGAAAAAGAAAGCAATAGTAATTGGAAACGAATACAATCTACAACCAAAACAAGTACTACAACGTCAGAACAATTTTTCTTCGAGCAGTTTGCTGATGACATGCCTATTAATGATAAAGAATTCTTGTTAGATACAGAATCTGGAAATTATATGAAGGCAGTTGTTCATAATTTGGGTGACAATGATTTTTCCGCAAAACATCAGAGCAATCAACTTATTGTCGACGAGGTTTGTATTAATTCTATATGCAATATTTGAAATTTTTTATTAATAGCTAACGATATAATAACAGTTAGTGAGTCTATATATTTCAGTACTGATTCAATCAATTTAAATTTAATTTACATATTTTACTTTGACCTGCATCTTTCATAGGAATAATAAGAGCGTTATTGTTTACAAGTAAGTCATTACTGATAGTAGAAAGTATTGCACAAATATTTTTTCTAATTATTTTACTTTCTTATATGAACAATGTTTTATCACTAGTGAAAAATGTGTTAAATTACCGTTTTTAACTGAACTGTTGATCTCCGATAAGTTGAAAAAAAGTAGCAGATATGATAGTAAAGACAGAGACCGATTATTAAATAAAAGAACAAGAACAAATATAATTCTCATTCAAATAAGTCAAAAAGAAAATGCTAAAACATCATTTGATCAAAATAAAGCTACTAAATAGGAGAATAAAAACGTTTTTCGAGTTTATGGCCAAAGTTAAGAATAGAAATTTTAAAACCAATGCGGCTATCATATTAAGAATTTTAATAAAAAGTTTTAATCAAATAATAAAAAATAAAAATTAAAACAATTAAACAATTAAAACTAAAACATTAAAATTATAATTCGATATTTCGACCTATTAATACGGTCATTTTCAAGTTTCTCCTCGTACAGGATGTTACATAAAGTTTAAAACAAAATAACTGATTGTAT